CAAATTTAAGTTCATCTTTTTAGTATTTAAATTAATAATAGTTATCTGAGTAATTTTAAGGTTATTAATTTAAATAAAAAATAAGAAATTAATAATAATCATAGCTATCATAATATTCTTATAATAAATCCTTGTGAATAGCAATTTTATCGATTGCAGCTAACGATAACCTATAATCTTCAATAATGATCTAGTAGTTTGTTAAACATATTTAGATATCTTTTGAAACCTTTTAAAATATATTGAGGAAACTCTTTGTAAGTTAATCATTTTTTGTTAGAACTCTAATTCTTGTTAAGGATAAGATTTAATTAGTTATAATAATTTTGAGAAAAAAGATTTATATTGCTGATGATTTTAATTAATATTTCCTAATCTAAATAATAATTAATTTTATTTACCTTCTTTTTTCTGAAAGAGTTTATTCATACTGTTTTGCAATTAACTCTATATCTGAAAAATGTTTAAGAGATATAGATGTGAATTCTGCTTTACTAATTATTTCTGATTCATCAAAAGGTTTGTGTAATCTTTCAAATGCCACCACTGAAACTACAGACATAAAATTAAATGCTTCATTAAATAAATCTCTTAATTCATCAGCTTTAGATTCAAATTAATTAAATGCATATTTGATTTCTCTTTAAAATTTTGAATAAGAAGTGCATGAATCAAATGAGATTAAAGTCGTTTATATATTTTTAAGTTATTAAATAACATTTACTTTTATTATTTAATTTTACTATGCTTTTCAATAATTGTATGTACAGTTCGGGCTTCCATTTTGATACGATCTCTTAAGCCTTCTGCATCAATTTCTAATTATTAATAGTATTAAGGCTCTTAATTTAATATCATCAATCTTGAAGTTTAAAAATTTGATTAATTCATTTGTACTTTAGATCTAAATAATGTAAAAATATTTTCTAAATTGTCTAATTAAACTTCTTTCAGTAAAGTTTGTTTTGCTGGATCTTTTTAAGATATTTACTCATTTTTAATTTCACTTTTAACTTAACCTTCTATTTGTGAAGTAGACTTTTACTATTCAATTCCTACATGTGCAATATAAGATAGTTCAGGATCAATTTTTAATGAATTAATACTTAACTAAGGTTATTTTTAAGTTGGTAATTAGAATTAATTTAAATGTTAGTTTGGGGAAGTATTTTCAAATATTCTTTTCCTATAAATTGATGATACATTAATATTGTTGTAATTTATTATTTAATTTGTTAAATATATTTTAAATAAATCTATACTTGTATTAACTTACATGTTTGATATATTTAAAATAAATTATTAATAAAAAGAATTATAATAAATTCTCCATAATCTATTAATTCATATAACCAATTGATCATTTAATAATGAATAGGATTTAGTATTACAAAGATACTTTATTTCTTAAAGTTATTATTAGAGAATTAAAGTAAAGATAATTTTATATAATAATATAGTAGTATGTTGTTAAAAGAATTATTAATATAATAAAAATGGTAATGATTTTAGTAATGAATAATGATGATAAAATGATATTTCTGAAAGAAAGCTATATATATTAGAAATTGAATCATATAAATTAAAAAAATTAAAATCTTTATTCATTAATTAAAATAAATAATGAGAGAAAAGTGGAGAAAGAAGAGAATGCGAAGACTTAAGAGAAAAAGACGTAAGGCACGTAAGTGATAGGGATAGTGATAATTATAAACATATTTAATTTGAACATCTTTTTATATTAAATTATAGCATTCTTAGAATATTAGTTACCTAAAGGATGAATAATTTCTTTAGGTTGGAAAAATGTTTTAGGATTTAATTGATGATTAATAAAGATGGCCAAAATTGTCCAATTGATCTAATAAAGTTTTGATAAATGCTGTTAATTAATAATTATTTAATATTTAATGGAGCAAGAAGCCTTTCATTAAGTATAAAACTACATTTTATGTAATTTATAAGCATTTTAACAGAGCGTACATTGGGTTAAGGAACATTCGGAAAGGTGAAATTAGGATATCATACTATTACTGATGAATATGTAAGAGAAATAGTCAAGAATTTAGGTTGCTATTAAAGTACTTGAAAAGAACCGAATTGAAAATTAATTTGATTTAATAAGAGTGTAAAGAGAAATCACAATTTTAAGAAAAGTTAATCATCCAAATGTGATAAAATTATACGAAGTAATAACTTAATTAATATAAGATCTTAGAATCTGAATAATCAGTTTACTTAGTAATGGAATATGTGAGAGGTGGAGAGTTGTATGAATACATAATAAAGAAAAAATAGTAATGTGAATCCTAATTGAAATTAGCTTACCTGAACATATAGCAGCACGTTTTTTTTAGTAGATTATTTTTGCTATTGAATATTTGTACAACAATAATATTACCCATCGAGATTTGAAACCAGAAAATTTATTATTAGATGATAATAAATAATTGAAGATTGCAGACTTTGGATTAAGTTTCATCTCATTTACATAAGGAGAACTATTAAAAACAGCGTGTGGTTCCCCTTGTTATGCAGCTCCTGAAATGTTAAGTATATATAATAAGTAATAAAAGTTGGTAAATAATATGAAGGTTGGAAAAGCGATATTTGGAGTTCTGGAATAGTTTTATATGCTATGCTTTGTGGATATTTACCATTTGAACATGAAAATACAAAGGAATTATATTAATTAATAAGAACTAGTGATTTTGAAAAACCTGAACATTTATCTCCTAATGCCATTGATATGTTAACTAAGATATTAGTAAAGGATCCAAATAAAAGATTAAATTTTGAATAAATTAAATAGCATCCTTTTTTTTTAATGCAAGCTCCATTATAAAGAAAAAATTTAAAATTAGATGATTAAATAATAATTTAAAAAATGATTGAAATGGGTTATTCTTAAAATTAAATTACATTCTAGTTAAAAGCTAATAAACATAATACTTTAACTACAATCTATTTTCTATTATAAAAAAAGCAAAATCAACCATATCGTAAAAACTTTTTTTAGAATATATAAAATATTGCAAATATGAAAATTGATCTAAATTAAAAGAAATAAACTTTCGCTAAAATTCAACCATCTTAATAGGGTTCTCCAAATTTTGATAAATTAGATGTAGGATAATAAAGAATGAGATAGAAAATGAATTATTCCCCTTATCTATAAACTTAAGTTTCATAAAAATTTAAGAAATTAAATTTATCTGTATAATCAAAAAGAGTTAGTATTTAGATTGATAATACTCGTTAAAAGACATATTCAGTTTAAGAGAAATATACAGATTATCCATAATTTATAAATTAAACTTTATAAGATTCTAAGTAAATATTGTTTAATATATTTATTAGATTTTAAACAATAAGGAATTAAAAGTAATAAGGAAATATAAAGTTTTAACCAAAAAAGGACATTGAGCATGGATTAAAAACAGATATAAATGAAGAAATAACAAATTATTTCAAAGGTAATTTGACATAAGTAAGATAAAGAAATAAAACATAACCAAATAAAAATGTTGAAGCTTTAAAATTTTTTGATAAAAATTCTAAATTATAAGCATCAAATTAAGTATAATTAAAATAAATTAGATTGTATCAAAAACACCTTAAAATTATGGTATTGGTTAAATTGAACTGAGCAAGACAAGATAGTTATAAAAATAATAAATAGAAAATAAATATTCTGTAATAAATAAAAAAAGAATCGAATTAAAAATATAGAAATAATTAGGAAATCAATTTTGATTAAATTGTAATATTAAATAAATAAAAAAGAGTGATAATAAAAGTTTGTTGATGAATAAAAGAATAATAATTTTTTTATTTAATAATGTTAAATCTCATTATTTTCCATATTCTTTTTATGTCATTAGATTATAAAAATCATCAAATGTAACAAATCCATCGTCATCTAAATCAGCCTAAATAATTAATTAGAAATAATAATATACTTTTTTAAACATATGTTAGATTTCTTCATCAGTCATTTCTTCTCCTAAATCTTAAGCCACTCTTTTTAATTCATCCCAAGTGATTCTTCCTAAAAATAATAAATAGATATACCTTCTTTGTTCCAATCATACAAATTAAATACTTTTTGAATTTATTCACGTGTATCTTTATCACTAACCTTAGCTGTAGCAAGATGTAAAAATTCTTCAAAATCAATACCTCCTGAATTGTCAGTATCTAATTCACCCAAAACTTAATAAATAAATTTATTGTGATATGTTTTTATTCCAGATGCTTCAAAAGCTTCTCTTAATTCTTATGGATCAATTGCTCCTGAACCATCATTGTCAAAAATATCAAAAGCTTACTATAAAATTAAACATTATTATACTTTAACTTCTAAGACTTCCTCTTTCGTTAGATGAGGAGGTTTAGCATAATCCTCAGCATTAAATACTTTTTATTTTGGAGGTGGTGGAGGTGGTTATTGATTTCTTTATTGTTATCCAACTTTTGTAGGTTAAGGAGGAGGTGTTGTTTATTTGTTTTATTATCTTGACATTAATATAAAATAGATATTTATTCAAATAAAAGTATATAATATTTCATTTCAGGATGTTTACTATATCGTGATCTTCATCTTCATAATCAATATATTGGATCTCCTTTATTTCAGCCTTAGTTTCCAAAACTGAAATAAAAAATAGTTCTTGATATTCTTACTTCATTTAATTAAGCTAACTCTTATTAATTAATTTACTATTTGCCATAAGTCCAATAGTTCAAGTGCATTACTGATACATAAGCATATAACAATTGATGGATCCATTAGTTCATTATGAATTAATTAGATATTCTAGCAAGTATACGAAATTTAACTTTTTAAAAGATCCTCAAAATTCTAAGCTGTTTATACATAATGCGGATCAAGATATATATAGTAATCTTATATTCTACCAACAATATAAAAGGCTTTATTTGAAACTCCACCTATTATACCATGAAAATAAGGCAGAGTCATTAAATTATTTAACACTTACAAATAATCCTTATTTACATTTTAAAGTCCAATTCTAGATGGTATAAATATAGCTATTCCTTTATCAGCTTTTAACTTGAATTAAATATTATTTAGAACATATTATTTTAACCACTCTTCATTACCTTTATCATAATTAAACATTTATTGAATTGCCTTCTGGAGAATAAAACTACCATCATAATCAATATACATATCCATATTAATAGAGTCTTATATTGAATATTCTATTTACATTAAGAGTATTTAAATAAGTATTCTAATATTTAAAGTATTTCATTTGGTTTATACCATTCTCCAGGTTCTTTCTTAAGTTCAACTTGTGCATAATGTACTATTTTTTAAATAGAAAATGGAGCATGATAATATTGTTATTAGTTCTTATCTGTTTACTTAATAAAATCATTCAACTCTTCTTGATCGTCATCTATAAAATGTCTAATTAAAACTATCAATTATTCTGCTTTTTTAAATTAATGATAATGTCTAATTATCTATGCTAAACTCATTTGAGCTACTCTAATCATACATCCCCAACCTGTATCTGATGTAAGAGAGCTTACTCCTAAATAAAAAGAAACTAAAACTTTAAAATTTTGGAATTTTATTTCTATAAGAAAACCAAATGATTTTGGAACAAGTTTACTTTAATTTATCTATTCTTTACTTATAAATTAAAATATTAGTCTTACTTCTATCCCTACATCATTCTTTATTGTTTCATTTAAAATGTGAATTATTTAGTCTTTTTATCTTAACTACTTATCAATATCATAAACATATTAGGTCAAATTAAATTTGGTATTATACCATCTATCAAGAAATGATCCACAAAAGTTCTACATACTAATTAATGGTATCAAAGATTACTGATTTCTATTAATTATTAATAATTCATGGCAAATCAATTTATTGAATATACATCCTAAGAATTTTTGCAATTGCATTCATACCTTCTAAATACAAATAACAATACCTTAGAATTAGAAAAAACTGTAATTATCAATCATTATCTAAAGTTCAAAGAAATTGAAAAAGCTTGTACTACTTTTTCAACATCTTTAAAGAAAATTGCGGAAAGACTCCACGAATTTGTAAGTAAAGGTACTGGTGATGATGATAATATTGAATGTGTTTACTAATATTTGAGCAACTTTTTACTTTAGAATTCTTAATAGTGGCAACAAACAAGTGAAAATTTAAAAAGCGAAGTTTATTTATTTTTTATATTGACTTTAGGTTCTTGAACCCTATTAGTTAATAATGAGCAATTATAGAAATATAAACTTAAAATTATCTTCAGAAATGAAAGATTATATAGGAACCATCTAATCATTTAATAAACAAATTTCAGATTAGTAAGACGAATATATACGTTTAATGCAAAATGCTGATAAATGTTAATTATTAATGGAAAGAACAGTTGGTGAAATAGCTAAAGGAAATAAAGGTAAGGATGAATTAGTGAAAGCTTCAGAAAGATAAATCAAATTAAAAGAAATAGCAATAGAAGCATAAGAAGATTATAAAAAGATTATAGAGAAAGGAAATAAGAAACTTACAGATTTTGATGTTAAGATTAAAGATTGGTATTAGTAAATATTTTTGAATGATGAAAATAGGTATATATATTTATTTAAAGTAGAATTAAATTTTCTAAATAAATTATGTTATCATTAATGAAAAAATTAACAAATGAAACTGTTTATTCTATATACTAAGATAAATTAAATTAATTAGAATTAAGAGTAATTTAAAAACAACCATTGGATCTCTAGCATTAGATTTAAAGATTACTTAAGAAGAGTGGAAGTAAATAATCTTTATCATATTGTAAGCTGATACAGTTTAATTTTCTCTATTTGATTAAATAAATTATGATTAAATTAAGAGAGGAGAGTATAAAAAAGGACTTTAATATATTGGAAGTGAATGGACTTTAATTGGTGAATAAGTGACTGAAGAATAAGCTACAAAGATTATGTAATTTATTAATGATCTAATGGAAAATTAAGAAACTTCAGATGATAGTGTAAATAATTCAAGAAATAGGTCATTTTCTACATCTTCAACTAAATCAAATTAATTTATATCTCATGAATATTTAGGAGTTAAATAATTAATGACTAAATAATCAGCTAGATCATTATTAATTAATTTAATATAAAAAGAAATAGAAAAGAGAAAAGTTAAATAATTAAATTTATCTGAAGATTCATTTAATGAAATTAGTGCTATTTTTAAACATGTTTTTTTAATTTTGGATGCTGAATTTGATGTAGAGGAATTCTATATGTTTTTACAACTGTCATATAAAATTGTTAAAGGAGATAACTCTCATCTTATTTCAAGTTTTTCTAAATTAGATATTTGGTAAAATAAATAAAAATGGAAATCTTTATATGAACACATTAAATCAACTAAGTTTTAATAAAAACAAATTTTAGATTAATAGTTTAATATAGTTAAAAAAGGATATGGATTGATTAGTAAAGGATTGAAAAAAATAACAGGTGCAGTTTAAGGATAGTAATATTCAGAAAAAGAAAAATATTAATAACAGAAATATATTGTTTTACATGAGATAGCTACATTCCTTAGTGAATTGAATGTCTCACCTTAATTAGGTTCAGATGTAATTTTAGAACTTGCATTTCATTCTGATATTAAATTAGAAAAAGTTTAATTAGAAAAATTATTACAGATTTTGGAAGAAAAGAATGCAATCTCATTTAATTTAAAATATTCTTCTGGTTTAGGAATAAAATAAAGAAAGGAAGAAAAATATAGAAGACATGGATTAAATAATAATTAATCAAGACTTATTTATACAATCAGATTATCTATTAAATATTTATCATATTAAGATAAACCATACTAATTATTGCTAGTATCTAAAGCCTTTAAATTTCATTTAAGATTTGCTATTGAAAAATATTATATTATTCATAATAGTGTACCATGTATGGAATAAAACTAGTATTATAGAGCATAAAATCTGAAAGTTTATTTAAGAACGGATCAAAATCATATGGATTATGCTTTAAAAAAATCAGAGGCTTAATAAGAGATATAATAATATGAAGAAATTATAACTATGGATGTTTAAAGATCTTTACAATTACATTTTGAAAAGGTTCCTTCTAGTAAATTATAATCATTTTTAAGAACATACGCATTTCATAATAAGGAAGTAGGATATTGTTAAGGAATGAATTACGTTGTTGGATATTTATATTTGACATTTGAAGATGAAGAAGTTACATACATAGTATTTGATTATATTATGAGAAACTATTTTTCTTAATATTTTGAAAATGAATTTGAAATGCTGGTATTTATTAATTAATTTTATTTTATTATAGAAAAAGGTATTTTATTAATATGAGAGATTGTTATTCTTATTTTTACCAAATTTATATCATCACTTTAAAAAAGTAAAGATTATTAATTATTCAAGTAAAAAGTTGACGCATCTTATTATTTAACTGCTTGGTTTATCACTTTGTTCAGCTAAGTCTATTAGTTTACATTATAATCAGCATTACTAAATATTATTTGGGATATATTTATTATTTAATAATGGAAAGGTAATAATAATAATATAATATTATAAATAGGATTTTATAAATGTGTTTTATTTTTGTTATATTTCTACTAAAAAGAATTATTGTACTTAGAATTTGATTAGATACTACATTTTTTGAGTGAGATCATAAAAAATGAATTATTTTGTCTTAAAACTGAATAATAAGTCTAAGAATATGTTTGTACAAAGTTAAAAATTGCATCAAGACCTTTAAAGTAGATAATTACAAATTAGTTTAAAGTTACAAATAATCTTTTACAGTAATTGGAATAGGAATTTAATTGTTTTTCAACAAATTTCGATTCATAGTTAAAATAATTCAAATATAAATGAAATATATTAAGATTCATTAAAATACCCATTTTTAATTGTTATAAAATTTGCATGATTATTATAGATTCTATAAATTATAATTGTTAAGGCTATTTTCATCTACACCAATATCATCATCATAATAATCTTTGATTGCTTAAGCTAATTTGCTAGGAGATTTTTCAATTATTTCATATGTTATTCCTCTAATATTAGTTGATTTAGTTAATATATTGAGATTTTATCTTGAATGAGATCCTTTAGATTTTAAATTACTAATATGTAATTCTAAAAGTATTGTTAATTCCGAAAAAGTAATCCTTCGAATTGGATCTTTCTCGAGCATTCTCTATACCATTCTTTAAGCTGAAGAAGAGATATTTTTCCATTCATCTAATTATAATCTGATTTAACATTATTTATTTCTTTCTATTAAAACTTTTCTATTAAATTTTTTGATTCATACCTTCATAATTAGTACTTCTAAATGGAAAGTTTCCACACAATAAGATATAAAATAAAATGCCTAAACTAAATATTTCACAACTTTCTGTGTATGGGGCTAAGTCAAATAATTCAGGTGCAATATAACCAGGTGTCCCTTACTTATTTATTAATTCATTCTTATTGATTTTTTCAGCAAATCCAAAATCAATAATTTTAATTTAAATTGGATTAAATTAAGCTATTAAAATATTATCTAATTTTATATCTCTATGTACATAACCACATCTTTTATTATATATCATATTATACCTATGTATTTCTTTTAAACCTAATATAATTTATAGACATATTTCACTAGACATTAATTCATGGATTTCATTTTATTTTAACAAATTTGATAATGTACCTCCTTAAATATATTCTAAAATTAAGATCACAACATCTTCTAATTAAATTACTTCTAATAGTTCCACAATATAATCTGATTTTGCCAATTTTAATATTTAACATTCATTAGTCACAAAATCCTAACATTATAATTTTTAAATTACTTTCATCTATTTCCCTGAAATCTTTTATAAAAGACATTTGGAATATATTTTTGCTGCTAATTTTCTATTTCTAGATTCTTCTGGTATCAATGGAGAAATAAGAAACACAGAACTAAAAGCACCTTAATCAATTGTCTCTATGATTTTATAAAAACCTTCAAAGTTTTGAGCAACACAAAACTGTGCTAATTTCTTATACCAATTTAAAGTACTAGTTCTATACTTTAAATAAATGAATTAAAATACTAATTATCTGGATTCCAAATATAAATATGACAGTTCTCATATTTCTAAATACGTATTGCAACAATATTTTATTTATTATGATCCTCTTCATTTATCAATTCAATTTTCTTAATTAATATTTGAAGATTTAAGTCAATTTTACCTTTTATTTTTGTGTCTTAATACATTAATAATCCAGATCTTAATAATAAGAATGCATATTTTTTAGGAGCCTATTTATTTTTTCCAATTCTTAATAGATTTTCTCTTATGACTATCTAATTAGTTTCAAATCTTTAATCTATTTTTTTATTCCAGAATTAAGTCTTACTAGGTTCATTACATTTAAAGATTGGCCAATCTGAATTATTTATCTTTTCAACTAATACAACATTTTTAGTTTTTATCATAATAAATAATTAAATGTGAATACGTTTAAAATTACAAATAGTAAAAGATCAGATTATATTAGCTTTAGAGACTTTAAGAAAATCAAACAAATTCTTCTCTCCTTTTACTTAAAAATAATTGAATTGTTTTATGAATACTTTTGATATTTAAGTTTCAAAGAGAAAATATCAATCACAATAAATGAGATTTGCTAGGATTTATTTTAAGATGATATGTGCATGGTTTTATATAAAATTAACATAAAATAACTTTATCCAAAGGAGCTTATTTAGATCATATAATTTGAATAAATTGACAGAGGAAAATAATAATGTCTTATATTAAGATGTAAAGTATAATAAATTGATTATTTTGCTAAATAAGAAAAACATTTTGCTATTATAAGATTAGATGATTTAAGAATTTTGTAGAAAATGTGATTCAAAGATTTATAAATTTATTAAATATAATTTTATTCATGTAAAATATTTAATATAATTTTATTCATGTGTTTAAATTCATATTAATCTTTATTTATTCAATTTTTTGAATACAATGTGGATCTGAGTTTATTGATTCACACTATAAATCGTCTTTTAGACTTTTTATCTATTTATTTTCCCATTAAATGAAATGTGAAACTTCAAAGATATCCCTTACTTCTTATCCTAATTTTTCAATCAATTTCTCATTAATTTTATTATTCTATTATAATGATTAATGAATGTGATCATAGGCCTAGAATTAATTAAATTTACTTTTACTTAAAATAGTTTATAATAAGCCTGAATTGTTTCATTCTATTATAAAATTTCTTAAGAATTTGAATTTGATCTTATGCTTTCCAAAGTTCTTCTTACTAAACTACTAGTCATATTTTTTGATTCATCCTCTTAAAGATTAATTACCTATTTTGGAGCAAAATCAAATAAAACTAATTAATCTTAAGTTAATAATAATTCTTTAATTAAATTTATCTCTTTAACTGTATCTATAATCACACAAATATCCAAATCTTTATTTATTTTTTTTCTAAAATCATTAATATAATTTATTACATAGCTTTGTATAATAGAATGTTGTTACGATCATAAAATAATTTAGAGCAAAAGACCTTAGAGAGTAAATATTTACAATTAAATAATACAGGTTAGCTTCTACTTAATATTTTCTGGATTTATTTTGTAAAGTAGCTCTTATGATCAAGAATTCCTAATTTTTGTATAATTTTTTCTTATTCTTATTAGAATAATCGTTATTCTTCTTAACGATTAGTAGTTTATAATTCTGATTTGATTTGAAATGTTTCTTCTTATTTTAATGTATTTTATTATTATTCCTATTATTTTGTATCATTAAATAATATTTAATTTTATGTATGTTTAAGTGATTGTAGAGGAGATTATAAATCTTAATCTTAATTTTTAACAGTAATAGTTTTACTTTTTGCTCTTGCTTTTGCTATTGTTTTCTTTATTTCTTTTCTATCTTGTAATTCTGCCATGTTAGCATTATTCTTCTTAGGAAAATCATATACATGATTAGCCAATTCAATCATAACTAAACATTTATTAATTATAAAATACATCTTGATTTATTATAGGATTTGATAATGATTCCAAAAATAAGAGCAACAATATTAGCAAATCCTCCAAGATAAGAGAGTAAATCAGCAATATCTTCTAATTCTCGTCTAATAATGTAGGTATATGGACTTCTTCTTAAATAAATAGCTGAAAATTGTTAATCATTATTTTAGACAATTTTAGTTTTAAAATCTCCTGCTCTTTTAACATTGATTACTTCTTCATCTACTTCTTTAAGTAAAGGAATAATATTGTCATCAGTAGTGATATTGTATTTTTAATAAAATATATCTGCTTCTGTACCTGTAGAAAGTAGAAATGAAAAATAAGATTCATCATCTAAAAAAGTTTGAGATACATTTTAAACTGATAATGGATTAATAACATTGTTAGTCATATACCTAAATAAATAATAATTAATATTTACATTCTAATTCTAAATGAACGTTCTTATTAAAGATAGCGATCTCTTGCCTAAGTACTGGCACATTAAGGTTTCCATGATAAAATAGAATTTGAATTTGAATTATTTGAACATTCACTTACAGTTATTTTCACAAATTCAAAGACATCACTTGTAAAACTACCACCTAATTTAATTGAGTAATTTAATTGAGGACATAGCCATTCCTCTAGTTTAAGTTATGAAAATTAAGTAGAAAAATCCTAATTTTTAAATATCTTTTAAAATCGATCTTAAGTGCATGGAATAAGATCAATAAAATTATCTTGCTTATTTAAACTTCCATTAGAGAATCGTGTATATATACGTTATTTAACAGTTAGATTGAAAAAAGGAAGAGTACTGAAATTAGGTTAATCTACTGCTAATGCAAACATATAATTATCTTCGTTAAATTATATACTGTCTGGGTTGAAATCAAAAATTGTCTATGTGTTAAGATGAATTTCAACTCTATTCAAAAAATTAAGGATATTCTGTTAAAAAAAGAATGCTATTATAGCAATAATAGCAAGTGAGAATAATCCACCAGTTGCTGTTTAGTATTAATTCTATCCTTTAAAATTCAATTGAATGTTCTACCCAAAAATATCTAGATTCTTAAAAACTTGAATACTTATTTGATTTATTACATTCTATAGATTTTTTCATCATCGTTTTTTTTATATTTTAAATTTATTAACTCAATTTTAATAAAATCCTATCCTAGAGTTTTTATTCAATTAAAAATGAATAAGCTCTGTATTTTAATTCACCAAGACCATTACCGAACATTTTCATAAACTCTAGATAAGTATTCTAATCTATAAAATCCGCCAAGCTTAATGATTCTATAAATTATCTTATATTTTTAAACGTTTATATATAATTTCATTTTTTTTATCAGTTCTTTTAAAAATTCCTCTTCCTTATCATATGGTTGACATTTATGTTTATTTATTTAAGACATTAATATTCTAATTGTTATGAATTCTTAAATATCTTAAACAATAAAAATTTCCATCCTCATTTATATGGAAATCTCTATTTTGGATTTTAATAAGAAACTCAAAGATCTTTATAAATTTCTATTATTATTTCTAAAATCCTAAATTATTTTTGATACATTTAATGAAAGAAAAAAGAATCCATGAAATGCCATTCAATTATAGAATCAACTCTATCAACCATTAAAATTAATTTAGTAATCGAAATAGAGGAATTGTCTCTAGTCAATATTTTTTAAGTTTAAGTTTAATAGTTTTAACTAAATATTTTTATAATTTCTGATTAATTTTAAAATTTTGAGGAACTGCTTCAATAGTGAAATCCCCAAATGAAAATCAGATATTTATTGATACTTAGATATAAATTATGATTTACATTCATTCTAATATCCATCATTATTTAAAATTAACTTTTATTATTCATATCAATTATTTTTACACTTAAGCAGCAACAGCATCACTAAACTATTACAGCGCCTTAATTCATTTATGCAGTTCTTAAAACTATTAAGACTGTAGTTAATCTATATCTAATTCATTATATCATTTATATTTAAAATTTCAGACAATTAAATAAAATCATCTTATTTATCTGCAAAAATGAATTCATTTTTTAAGGATTCCTTAATGAAATTTCTAAATATTCACAATTTAGGAAGATTTAAAGTAACTACTTAAGGTTTAAGAATAAACTCATAGTAATTAATACAAATCTCATCTTTACTTTTGGTTCGCTAAAAAGATTTATAGAATAAATTACTACTAATAAATCCAAATACTGTTTTAAGTCATTCTCAAAATAATCGTTTCATTTTATAATGAAGAATTATAATCGAATTCTCTGTTATTTAATATCTGTATATATGAAATAAACTAATTATAAAAATAATAAATAAATTAGCTTTTTGAAAAATAGGGAGATAGATATCTTAATTTAAATTAATATAAATCAGAATAATCTTTATTATAGTATTCAAATCAATTATGACCCAAATTTTAATTTTTATTGTCTTATTTAATTGCATAAATAATATATAAATTGTATTGATTTCAATAATTCGGTAGGATCATTTCAAATTTTTATTAGTATTCTTGAATTATGAGCAAAATGATATAAAAATACATATGAATTCTATTTATTTATTTTTAGAAGAATTTGATAATAATTATTATAAAATAGTAGATATATTAATCGATTGAATTTAATAACATTCTTTATAAAATAAGCAATCCATAGTATATAGCATTAATTCAGAAAATAAAAAATTTTAGAAAACTGTATAAATGAAGAGAAAGTTCTAACTATGGATTTAATTTCATATATTATAAACTTGATATTTAAAATTTTTCATATATTTATTTTACTTCATTTTAATAAATTATTGAATTTTTTAGATGAAAACTCTTCTCAAAAAGGTTTTTAAAAAACTTATATAATTTTATTTAATAATTAATGTAATAGGGTGAATAATTGATTTCTGATATTCAAAATTAACAAGGATAAGCTTATTTTGAAAATATCAAGGCAGATGAAGACTTATAAAATAGATAAAAACTTAATTAAACAAAATAGAAATTGTAAAAGATTTATTAGGAATGCAAATGCTCATCTTGCTAATTATTATTTGAAGAGCCTGTTACGATAGTTTGTGGTCATACATTTTGCAGAGAATGTATTATTCGATCAATTTAACTTAAACCTCAATGTCCAGAATGCTTGTATACATATTGTTAGTTAATTAGATATCCTATAACTAATGTCATCAAAAATATTCAAGAAAATTTCTTAGTTAAATCTGTTGTTAAAGAAATTAATGAACTATTTGTTGAAAAAGATCTAAAAAAAGCTAAACCTAGATTATTTGATCAAATTATTGCAAAAAAAATTTCAGAAAATATTATACAACAATTTTTAATCTTTGAAACTAATTCATTCATCATTCCATATACAAATTAAACTTTAAGTCTCAATATTGATCAATTTAAAGATTTAAATGAAGACTAAATATATAAAATCTTAAAGAGAGATTCATTGATATTACTTACAAATCCAAATAAAAATAAATAAATTTAAGATGTAAAGTTTTTTTAATTATTTTTAACAGAATGCTACTCTAGTGAATGTTATAAAAGCTGAGAAGAAATCTAAGATAATTGATTTAAGCGTTTAAGTTAAATAATAAATGAAAGTTTTAAAAATAACATAGGATAAATTTAGAATAGAAAAAGAAATTTAATTAAATGTAGCAAAGGTAAGAGAGATTAATGAAGAACCAATTATTTTCAATTTTTAGACTGATTAATAGATTAAATATTTAATAGACACTATAAAATAATAATTGGCTTCTCATTTACCTCATAAAATTGATTCATATACTGCTAAACATTTTGAATAGTTTTTCCACAGACTTTAATTATTTCAAATACTTAATAGTAACATTATAAGAAATGAAAAAGCCTTAAAACATATAAGTTTCGTAATTCCCTCAATCTTACATTTAACCGATCAAGAGAGAACAAGAATTTTCAATGCCAACAATAGTCTTGAGAGATTAATTTAAATTTCTGTAATACTGTAAAGATTCTAAAATATTACAAATCCATTAATGGTTTTCAAAATTCCAGGAGATAAAGAAAGAATCAATAATAAAACTGAATTTATAATCATTGTTCTATTATTGGTTTTTGCATTTTATTATAGAGTTATTGGAATCTGAAATTATTGTATAATTTATTATTATAATAATAAATAAAATGAATCATTAATTTGAGAATATAAAAAAATTTTGGGCATCAAAGAAAATTTGGTCGTTTTACAAATATCAAAATCTTTTGAATCAAAGATTAAAAGATTTAATATAAGAATTAGATCCAAAAATTCAAACAGTAATTCAGTTAAAGGAAAATAAAGAATCAGTGGGAATATCTAATAAGTAATTTACAAAAGTATGCACTAAAGCTTTAGAAAATTAAGCAAACCTTTTGAAACCACTAATATTACTAAATTACAGAAATATTCTGAATAATTAGAAGTATTTAATCGATATTTTATAATTAATTCACTATTCTACAAATAATGAGGAATCTAATTATATCGAAGATGTAATGAAGAATCCAAAAAAGCAAAAAGAATAAAAATAAGTAATGTGATTAATTAATTTTTTAGTTGTATAAAATATTAGAATTGATATTCATAATGTTGTAAAATCAATAAAAAGAAACAACTAAATATTAAATTTTAATATGCTTAGATTCAATTTTAAAAATAATGATGAAATGTTTATAAACTAATCCTGAGATACTCTAAAACTTGAGAAAGTATTAAAAATATAATCGTTGTATTTCATTCAAAAAGTCTTATTAAGGAATAGGCTAATATATAGAAGCAATAACATCTTTTGAATCTAAATTACGAGAAGATTTGAAACCTGAAATAATGGAAGCAACTCTCAATAATATATTATAATAATTAGATTGTGTTATTTGTTACAGTGCAATGAATGATCCTGTGTCAATGAAATGTGGACATAGTTTTTGTAAAGCATGTGTTTCCTAGGATTAAAATAATTCAAAAAAATGTCCAATTTGTAGGTATAATTAATTTAATAATTAGAACGGAGTAGGTAGATGAGATTTACTTAAGTGAAAATAACAAATTTTTAACTAAACTGATATTTTTAAGATAAAGTTTTGAAAATTAGTCAGATTTTTAATAGGTAGAGGATTATTAGTTTAATTATTACATTCACATATAACCATAAAGTAGATAGACTTATGAATAAAAAATAGTATTAAGAACAAAACAATCTCTCAAATATTTGATTGAAGAAGAAGTGGAAATAGATACAATTAAATTTAAATCACTAACTGTTATTTAGTTTTAGTAACTCTTATAGTAACATATTATTTTTATTCTTGTTGATAAACATGCAAATGCATATTTAGTGAAAAATATGTCTGCGTATATTAGTAAAAGCAAAACAAGAATTAAAGTTTAATATTAGGATAAAATATAAATAGCTCATTCATATTTCTCTCATATATTCTTAAATACTGAGAATGGAGGAGAATATATATTTGAATCTGAATTTGCAACAGCTATTACTTTAGAAGATGAAAAAATAGATATAAGCAACATAGAAATCCAAAAATAATTAGCTAGTTTAATAAATAATACAAAAGAATTCTTCAATTAGGCTCTACTAAATTAATAGTAAGATTAAACATATTAAACTCTTCATTCTTTTTTAGCCTAAGTTGGATTTTGGAGTTTGCAAAATTCAGATTTACTTAGTAATTATAATGAAATGAAAAAATATTCATATTTGATTCCAAACATTTTAAGAATACCTGAAAAAGAAAGAGAGTAAATTTAACTTACTAACAATTTAATTAAGAGATTAGAATTGATTGAAAAAAGTTTAAATAGATTCAAGTAATGTTCAAACATATTAATGTTATTTCATATTCAAAGGCAGAATCCAGATTCTAAGAAAAATATCATAGTGTCTATCCTTGTGTTCTTTTTTTTGTTATTTGCATTTTAATTGTGACTTATCATAAATTTGTATGAAATATATCAATTATAAATATCTACAATAGAAAATTTATGAAAATAAGTTTAGAATTTAAATTAAATTTATATAGAATAAATATATTACAATTACTTAGACTCATTAGTAATTAATAATTAATTATGGTCTTATAATATGCTATAAATTTATTTATAGATCAAAATAAATTCTCGAATAAGTATTTAAGGGTATATCTTGATTTTAAATATCAAGGATAGCTCAAAAATGTGAGAAATTAGTTTATTAATTATGAATGATATACATAAAGAGTATTTTAGTTTTTTCAAAAAAAATAAAAATTGATTAAGCTCAGAATGCTTAATATAGATGAAAATTAATAAAGTCAAATCAATTTATTAAGGAAGCAATACAAGCAAGAAATATTTACATTGTCTTAACAATACATTAAATCTTAACAAGGTATTATCATATTAAATTATCAAAGAAATATCTGAGTTAAATGCTTAGTTAGAATAGTCAAGAAAACAAGCGGATGAATTCTTGAGATTAAAAAGTAAATATGAGTAGGAAATCTAAATGTACAGAAGTAGGGCATAGACTTTAGATTTAGAAATAAGATAAGTTAGAGAGCAAAGGAACTCTACAGCTTAAAATGAAATAACTAAATTAACATAAGAAATTGCAAGATATTAATCTGAAGTATAGGTTCGATCTTCAGATAGAGAATTATATGAAAGAACAATAAAGACTTTGAATGATAAAATTAAGGAGATGGACAATGATATTCAAATATTGATTGAGGCTCATAATTAAAATCAATTTTAATTAGAATCTGCTATGGCTGAATCAAAGAGTAATATGCAATATTAAATTGATTAACTAAAGCAGGAAACGATATTCTATTAAACTTAATGTAAATAATGGTAAGAAAAATGTTAAACAGCAGAAATGTAAAAAGAAGAGAGTGAAAGAAGAATTATTTAAATGGAAATAAGAATTAATGAAACTTAAAAATAAAATGAATAGAATTAAAACGACAAAGCCTAAAGGGATAGTCATTAAATCCATAGCATTCAAAATGAATTAGAAAATTGGAAATAAAAATATATTTCTTTAGAAAGTAAGATGAAAGATTATGATAATTAAAGAATGAAAATAATTTAATATGAAGAGCAATTAAATTTTTACAGAAATGAAAATTAATAAATGAAAGAAGAATTATAAATTTTAATCACAGAAATTAAATAACTACAGGATCAAAATAATGGATATCGTTTAAGTATTACTCAATTAGAAAATGCAACTAGAAATAGTTTAGAAACTGATAGATATAAAACTTAAATTAGAACTTTAGAAAATACTATAAATCAATTAAATCAATAAATAAATGCTTATAAGATTGAAACTAAAGAACTTGAGTAATAAGTAATGTACCATTAAAACAAAAATACAAATGTTGATTATTTTGTTAAAGAAAAAGATGAAACAATTTAGAGACTTTAATATAAATTAAATAATATGGAACAAGAATTACGTATTATATTTGAAGAGTAACTAAAGATTGAAAAATTAGAATGGGATCGATAGAAATAAACTTAAATTGATGAGTAATTATAAAAAATAACAAAAAAATATGAATCTGAAACATTGACTTTAAGGTAACATTTATCCTCATTAGAAATAGAAAATCAATCATTAAATAAATAATATGAAAGATTAAAAAAAGAAGGAGAATTTGGTGTTTAAAGACAATCTGAAAAAGATAAAAGTAGAATATTTGAACTTGAAAGATAGATTATATAATTAGAGAATTAAATATCTATATAAAAGAAAGATTTTTCTTTGAAAATTGAGTAAGCCACTTAATCATCAAATATAAAGGAGTATTATGAGAGTTAATTAAAGTAGATTAATGAAAAATTATAACGTGAATAAGATTATGTAAAATAATTGAATGAGCAACTATCAATAGAATAAAAAAAGATTATAGATTTAGAAACCCGTTACTAGAAAGAAACTCGAGATATTAAAATATAATAAGAGAAGAGAATTGAAATTTAATAAGCATCATAATATTAGTTTGAATAAGAAAGTCATTAAAAGGATTTGGAGAAATTGAGAAGAGAATACAGGATGATAGAGTAATAATGTTAGGAATTGGAAGTTTAAGTAAAATTGTGGAAAGAAAAGTTTTATGATGAATAATAGAAGCATTAAGAAATAAGACAACAATTGATTGAAATAAGATCTTAATTTGATTCTCATTAAGTTGTGTATTCATAATCAGATTATGATAAATAAAGAGTTTAGGATTTAGAGTTGGAATTAATTTAATTATAAGAATAAATTAGAATACTTTAAATAAGAGAAGAAAAATATAAAGAATAAATTACAACATATACTATGACTGTAGAAAAACAGAAATCTAATTTAGATGAATTGAAGAGAATCAAATAATAGGAGTATGAAATTGAATCATTGAAGATTTAATGTAGAGATTTAGAAAGGTAATTATAGGATAAGACATTGGAATTTGAAAAAATGTTGAAAAGAAAATAAGAAGTTAAAGTTGAAACTATTGAAGTTTCCTCTAATTCAGACAAGTTAAAAATTTAGGAATTAGAATCACAATTATCATTCTTAAAATTGTAGTTGTAACAATTAAACAATTAAAAATAAGAATTTGTAAGAGAAACCATAAGAGAAACAGTACAAGTAAGAAGTTAGGAAGACATCAAAATGATTGCGTAACTTGAGGAAGAATTATCATTATGGAAAACTAAATATTATGAATTAGATAGAAGAAAGAATTAAGTAGTTGTTGAAACAATCAGAGAGATTTAATCTCTTGAAAGTGATAAATTAAGAATAAAAGAATTAGAATATTAACTCTAATAATTAGCTTCAAAAAAATAAGAGGTAATTCGGGAATATGTAACAGAAAAGATTGAAGTTCCTTTAGAATCTGACAAGATAAAAATACGTTAATTAGAATCTCAATTAAGTAATATTCAAAGGGATTATTAGTTATTAAATTAAAAAAAATAAGAAATAATTAAGGAAACAATAACTATAGAAGTACCATCTTAAGCAGATAAATCCAGAATTTAATAATTAGAATCTCAATTATCATAATTAAAATAAGAATTATAGATTCTCAGTTAGAAAAAACAAGAAGTAATATAAGAAATAATAAAAGAGAGAGTTGAAGTTCCAATGGAATCAGATAGATAAAGAATATATCAATTATAAGAACAATTGGAAAGATTATCAAGAGATTATTAGATTTTAAATCAAAAAAAATAAGAAGTAATAAAGGAAACTGTTACTGTTGAGGTTTAATCATAAGCAGATAAATTAAGGATTTAGTAATTAGAATCTTAATTATAATAATTAAGAACAGAGTTATAAATTATAACATAAAAGAAATAAGAAGTTATAAGAGAGGTAATCACTGAAAGAGTGGAAGTAGCTTCAGAAGCAGACAAATTTAGAATTAGATAATTAGAACAACAGTTAGAAAGTTTAAATAAAAATTATGAGATCCTTAATAAAAAGAAGTAAGAAATAATAACAGAGACAATAAAAGTTGAAGTTCCTTCTTAAGTAGATAAATTAAGAATTTAATAACTAGAATAACAATTAAATAATGTTAGGTTAGAATTATAAATAGTATCACAGAAGAAATAAGAAGTTATTAAGGAAGTGGTGACTGAAAGGGTGGAAGTTAGTAGAGAGTCAGACAGAAAAAGAATCTTAGAATTAGAACAAGATTTATATAAATTATAATAAGATTACATCGCTTTAAATAAAATTAAATCTGAAATTATAAAAGAAACTGTGACACTAGAAGTACCATCTTAAGCAGATAAATTTAGAATTTAATAATTAGAGGCTTAATTGTCATAAGTAAAAAATGAATTACAACTGATATAAACTAAAAAATAAGAAGTTATTAGAGAAACAGTTACAGAAAGAATAGAAGTATCATCTGAAACTGATAAGTATAGAATAAGATAACTTGAATAACAAATATCAACTATGAAAGAAAATTAAAATGCATTTGAAAATGAAATTCAGAATTTGAAAATACAAAATAAAAATCTTTAAAGTTCAAGTTATGAATACCAAGATTAATTGAAAATATATTAATCAAGGCTTGAAGAAAACTAAAAATAGAGATCAGCGGTAATTTAATTTGAAAGAAAAGAATAAGAGTTATAAAATTAGATTTAAATTTTAGAGAATTAAAAAGGAAGAGAAATTAATGATTTAAAAAATTAAATTGAATTTATGCAAAAAGAAAATTAAAAGTTAAATGAAATGATAAAAATTAAATTGGAAGAGAGTGAATAGTGGAAAAGAAAATGTTTGTCTGTTTAAAGTGAAATTTCTACAAATTCAAGTGAGGCTGAGTCATTGAGGATGTAATTGAAATCTTTAGAATAAAGCAGAGAAACAATTAAATTCGAACTAGATAAAGTAAATAAGATGTATTTCTAAATTTAAAATGAGTGTACATAGTACAAGTCAAGATGTAATGAACTTGAATTAAGAAATAAATAAATAAGTAGAGAGAATTAGGAATATTAAGAGCGATATTAATAAATCGATTTTGAAAAAATTAGTAGATTGGAACAAGAGAATCGAAGAAAAACAGAAAATAATTAATAGTTAGAATCACAATTGAAAAATCTTTAAAATTAATTATCTCTTAAAGATAAATAAATGCTTTAATTCTAAGAAAATATTTCAGAATTACAAGCTACCGTTCGATCTTTAAGGGTGGAAAATTAGGTTATATCTGAAAAAACTAATAAATAATAAGTAGTAGTTCGAGAAACATAAAAGTAATATCATTAATATTGATAGCAATCAAAAAATAGTGGAACTCGAAACAAGAATATAGGGTTTGAATGCTGAAATCTAAAGGCAGATTTAAATGAAAGATTAAATTTAAGCTAAACATGATATATTGATAGAAAGAGTAAAATAAAATAATATTAAGGCTACTGAATATGAATCAGAGATTAACATGCTCAGAAATGAATTATAGAAAAAGAGACAAAGCTCTATACAGAATATGCCTATAGTTACAAGGACTTATGAAATTCATAAAGTTGGAGAAGTTGTTAACAATAACACAGGGTTAGTTTCAGGATTTAATCTAGAAGACAGTAGAAAAATAAAATCAATAATTAATACGCAATAATTGAAATCTGAAATTTCAAATTCTGCTTCCAATATTAAAGAATCTCAGTTTTCTATTAAATCAAATTCTTAAGTATAGCCGTTCAATCCTTTAAGAAGTGATGTAAAGATTATTTATATAAATAGTTAATAAAGTAAAAGGCTTAATTGAATCGAATGGATGAGCAATCTTATAAATGAATTTTACATTACATACAATAATTTGTTAAAATACCTTCCAAAAGTTTTACTAAGTTATTCCACTCTTTAAATTTCCATTATCTTTAATATAAACAATAAAACTTCACAATAGTCAATCCAATTATGATTTAAAATTTTTTCAATCAATAAATTCAATTTAGCCATACCTTGATGAATGAAACATATAGATATTCTTTAGTATTTATTTGGAAGCTTTTCTATTTGAGTTTTAGTTCATTAATAAATGACTCTATTCAAAAATTAATTATAAAGGAAGACTATGGGTTTCTATATGTTATTTTAAAAATCTAAAATAAATTTTCCTAATATTTTGATTTTGTAAGAATTTGATTTATTTGGTTCTCGTACCTATATATCAATTCTTCAATTTTATCTAAATATTAACCTTTTAATTATAAGGGATCAATTTTATTAAAATAAAAGAAGGTCCTTTTTTTTACAGATATGACTGAAATTCACTAGGTCTATTTTTGATATAAATTTTCTTATTATCAAAAATATTTTCAAATAATTAATTATTCAATCCAATTATTTTGTATTATTATATATAAAATAACAATAATTCATAAACCTAAGTTCATAAATCATAATTATAAGAATTAAGTCTATTATATTTAATTAAACTGATCAAAGGTCTGAATTTTTTCTCATAAACTATTGATATACTAGCATAAAATTTAAAATAATAATGAAATATTGCTCAAAGATTTTCCTCTTCAATTTTAATCTCTTTCGGAGCTTTATAATAGTAGTACTACTATTGTATGTGAGATTTATCTTTTTTTAAAGACATTAATTCTTATTCATAAACGCTCTATCCGACTAACTAACATTCTATAACTAATTTACTTTTAATCCATTATAATCTGAAACAGATCTACCTTTATCATACCCATTTTTATTTTTGATATCGGAAATCAATTTCTAAGGATTAGGAATTTCTAATAGTTCTCTGTTAGGTATTTATTCTAATAAATCTTATTTTAGTTATAATCTTTCCTATTCTTCTTTTTGAATAACTTTCTTAATTTAAACAAAATAAATACTTAAGGCTTATATTGGGATCTTAATCTTTAATGCCATGTTATAACTGGATTTTTTGATTCTTCAGGCTTTAATTCTTCAAACATGTCTAAAGAATCTAACCGAGATCTATACTCTATATATTAAAATATAAAAATACTAGCCTATCTTTCTATTAAAGTGCTTTGATTGTTTTTCATCCGAGAACTAATCTTTGTTGATAATTCATTCCAGACTTATATTTGCTTTTCATGTTTATTTAATGCTCTTTCATGTTAAGTTTTCAATATCTTTTCTGTCTAAGAAATTTTCTACAGTTAATCTTGAGCATATTTTTCATTTTTCTTCATTATTTTCTATATTTTTTCCATCGTTTGTATTAATTCATATTTATCTAGAACTTCAAAATTATTGTCTCCAGTTTTCTGAATTACTTATTACTAATTTGTTATGTTTTTTTTGCTTCTATAGGATGAATTTAGACTTGATGGTTCATTCGTATTTGCTAAAAGCATATGTGTATTTTATAACTTCTTTTAATCTTCTTTTACATATTAGATAACTTTACAGGTTAACTAAAACGAATAGGCTTTTCAAGACCATTAGCCTATTTGTTGAAAACATCCACTTTGCCAACTATTGAACGAGATAGAATTTCATTTGTTGAATTCTTATGACTAAAATCTAATATTTAATAATCTGGACTCTAAGCTAATAGATTACAACTTTTTTACTTTGAAAAATATTACTAGAATGTAAATCCTAATCAGCAAATGGCCAACTCATTTGACTTGATTCCCCAACTAATTTTCTTAATAATAATGTATGCTTTCTTTTCATTCTTAATAATAATTTTTTTTATAATATCAATAAAATAAATATAAATAAATAGATTAGAAGTTTATTATTATTAGAAAGTTGAATTATTTAAATATCAATCAATTTTAACTTGATTAATTAATTTATTTACTTTTACTTGGTTTATACATAAATTATAAATTAAAATATTGAGATGAAAGTATGATTAAAGCTATTGGGTATTTTTAAGTTATTTATGATGTTTAATCATTAATAATATAATTTATATATTGTATTTTTTAAAGTTTCAACAAAAAATTATGAATGCTCTCTTAATAGAGAGTTGATAAATATTTACAAGAAAGAATAAGATAATCAAATTATAAATAAACTTAAGAATATAATATTTATTTAATTAGTAAATAAAATTAAGTGTCATCAAATAAAATGAAAGGATTAAATGTTCTTCATTGAATTGATATTTAAGAATATCTTATTTATATAATTTAGAATGTATTTAAATAAATATTTAAAAGCTATGAGGTTTGTGATTGTGATAAAATTCAAGAAATAAATTTGAGGGTTGAGAAATTGTATATAGTAATTATTCACTTTATTAAAATCTTTTTTTAAAATAAAAATAAATGGTTAGCAGATTAAGAAAATGCAGAAAGATGAGAGGACATGTTTGCCATGGTTATGGTAGAGTTGGAAAGCACAGAAAACATCCAAGTGGTAGAGGTGTTTCAGGAGGTTTGACACATCATAGAATCAACTTTAACAAATACCATCCAGGATATTTCTAAAAAGTATCTATAATACTAATAAATAGAATGGAATGAGACATTTTCATTTAAAGAAGAACACACTTCATAAGCCAGTAGTAAATATTGACAAATTGTGGTCTCTTGTCACAGACGAAACTAGAGAAAAATATTCCAAATCTAAAGATAAGGCTGCAGTGATTGATGTTACAAAGGCAGGCTATTTCAAGGTATTGGGTAAAGGAAGATTACCAAATCAACCAGTTGTTGTGAAAGCTAAATTCTTTAGCAAAACTGCAGAAAGAAGAATCAAGGCTGTAGGTGGTGCATGTATACTTGTTGCCTGATACATTATATACATTAAAATAACATTTGTCAATGTCATTAGAATAATCTTTTGGTAGATTTTTGTTGTTTCTGTTCGTTTATTTTTTTATTTTATAATTGTACTTCGATATTAATAAATGAATTCCAATACCATATGTGAAAATTAGCAATGATTTTTAATGATTCTGAAGACAAGTTAATAAATGAAATTTTTAAATTAATAATAATCGATATGAGACTCAGATACAAATATTGTAAAAAAGCTTAAAGAAACATAAGTGTAATCCAATGTTAAAATTCAAAAATAGAAGAAATAAATTAAGGATTTATAAATAGCTTTTATAATTATATTATAAAATAAATCGAGAGTGAAAGTAATTCTAAATGAGATGAAATTTAGAAATACATTACACAAATTACACTAATAAGTTGAGAATTTTAAGAAATAATTTATGTAATACTAAAAAAAAATTTAACTATGGAAAGATAAAAAAAACAGAAACTAAAAGATTTAGAAAATTGTAATAACAACTAAAGAATTTCTAAAAATAAATATAGAATAAAGACTAAAAATAAGTTAAATTGTTAGAAGGAAAATAAAAAAGATAAACAAAAATTTAATGATAAGATGTTAAATAGATAGAATCTAATAAAGAGAATAAGATTTTATTAAGATTGTTGATTTTAGTTTATAAGATAGTAACTTTAGTATTTGATTAATAATTTGTAGATTTAATTATTTACTAAATATTTGTAATATTTTTATGGAATTAATAATATCATCTTCCAGACCAGGAGGCAACTTATTTCTTGAAAATAATGATGACTTATTCAATGATGGCATTTTCTTCATCTCTCTTAGCCTTGGCTTCAGCATAATCAGCTCTTTTAGATTCTAAATCTGATTAGGCTTAATCAAGAGCATCTTAAGATTCTTATAAAATGATTTTGGATTTAGCTTATTAAGCAAGAGCTGCTTAAATTTACTAGAATTAATTATTTAATAAATATTACAGTAGCTAATCTATCAGCATAAACTTATTTTCTTTCATATTCAACTTTCAAATTAGCAACTTCTGCTTCACTTAATGATACCCATCCAGCCAATTCCCAAGAAGCATTGATTTCATTAGTTTCAAGAGCTTCAAGTGATGCTTAGAGATTAGCTTCTAATCCTTCTAATACTGATAATACTCTTTCAGCAAGAGTTGCTCCTCTACTAACAGATCCATCTTCTTATTTATTAGCCAATGAAAGGAAAGAATTGATTTCATGTTCATTAAATGTGTTACTATATGACTTAAGCTTTTCTGCAACGCTCTTAACTTAAACTAGCTCAAAAGCATCTCCATTTATTATATATCCAGCAACATCTTATTTAAGTAATCTCACAACTTCTAGAGCTTCTCTATTTTGTTTTATTGATCTAACAAAAAGTTGATTGCTTAAACATTGTTAATCTAGTAAAACTTCAATCTTTCTATTAATCTCATCTTATCTTTATTCATTCCAGGCAAGATAATTTTTGGTGTCTGATAAATCCTATTCATATTAGGCTCTATTTTCAATTGATTATTGGAATAACTTTTGATTCAAGTTCTTAATTTTAGTAAATTATTCAATTGTTCTGAATATAATTATTAAAGTCTTACTAAGCACCAACCCATTCATCTGTTTCATTCTTTTAGTCAGCTGCAAATTAAGCATCTTTATTTGATTGTATCAGATCATTTAACAAACCAAATACTGTATCAATTGCATCCATAGCCTTTGTTCCTGTTTATAAAAAGGCCATGATTTAATCATGAGTAGTAGTGGCTGAACTCAATGTTACTAATAATACCAGAGCAAGAGTCAATTTCATTAATATTATCAATATTTTTATGATCTTAAATAATGAATATAAGCGTAACCTACCCGTTTCCAGATAATATAAAAAAAACGGGTATTAATATTAAAAATAAAAATAATTAACTTGTCATCCACTCCTTTAGTTCTCATAAAAAAATGTTTTTCAATTAATATATCACTCCCATATCATTCCAAAATGTTCAATTTATAATATTTTTATTTAATAAAATAATATATGATACTGGATATTATACTCCTGTCTATTTCTTAATTTGTTTAGAAATAACACATTTAACTCAGTCTAAATATCTTATTCTAAAGCATTTCAAATAATAGGATTGAATTTGAAGACAGAAAATAAAATTATTCTATTAAAAAGTATAATCATAACTTGACTGCTTTAATATAAGATTCAAGACTAAATTTTAGAGTTGCAAGTCTTAAGTTATAAATTAAATTAGATTTTTTGAAGAATTTAAATTTATATAGGTGTAAATTTTTTATGTCAGAACAAAAAATATTTTTTATATTTGGAAAATTTTGAAAATGAATAATTTTTTAATAAATATTAATAAGAATTCAAATAAATTCAGTTGCTTTAATTTAAACTTAATAGTGAGGTTTCTTAAAGTGATTGAAAGATTATAGTATTTGAAATTATTAGTATTAAAAATATAGATATTTATATTGAGTTGAATTGAAGTTATTTGATAAATTACAATTTTTTTGGATAAAAGGGATTGTTAATTAATATAAAATAATAATGAATAAGTATGAAATCTAAGGTGTAGTAGGTGAAGGAGCTTATGGAATAGTACTAAAATGCAAAAATAAGGAGACTAATGAATGGGGTTAGTATTTTTTAGTATTTCTTACAGTGGCTATAAAAAAATTCAAAGAAACAGAGGATGATGAAGCAGTAAAGAAGAGTATTCAAAGAGAGGTGAAAATGTTACGAATGTTAAAGCATCCAAATATTATTTAATTGAAGGAAGCGTTTAAGAAGAAAGGCAAAATATTTCTAGTATTTCAATTCGTTGATAGAAACTTATTAGAATTATTAGAAGAGAGAAGAACTCTAGATGTATAATAATAGTAGTAAAATAGTAAGAAAGCATAAAAAGAGTGATATTTTAATTGGTTCTTGCTTTACATGCATGTCATTCTGTAGGAATTGCACATAGAGATATAAAACCTGAAAATTTACTGATTGATAATGAATTAAATTTAAAGTTATGTGATTTTGGCTTTGCAAGAGTAAATATAATTAATATAATTAGACAATATAAAATACAGAATAATTGACTGATTATGTGGCTACAAGATGGTACAGATCTCCTGAATTACTCATATCCAATAATTATGGAAAGTAAGTGGATATTTGGGCTATTGGTTGTATTATGGGAGAATTAATAGATGGTTAACCATTATTTCCAGGTGAAAATGAGATGGATTAATTATATCTTATATAGAAAATAATAGGACCATTGACCTAAGAACAGTTAGAGAAATTTTAGAAGAATTAAAGATATATAGGAATGAAGTTTCCAGAAATTGTTAAATTAGAAACTATTGAAAAGAGATATTCAGGTAAGATGTGTAATAAAGGTCTCAATTTCTTAAAGATGTGCTTGATTATGGATCCACATAAAAGAATGACTTCTTTAGATTGTTTAGAACATCCTTATCTTTCTGATCTATGGAATAAAGAAAATGTTATTAGACCTAAAAGTAATTTTTAGAGGAGAATTAGTTGTGAAAGAGATGACTCTAAACTTAGCATCAATAATCAATTTGATTTTTATGAACAAAAACCAATAAAGATATAAGAGAAAGCCATACCTTAAATAATTCAAAATTAATCATTTGTTTAAAAATAATTGTACAATTACAAAATGGGAGATGAAACTACTGAAACTATTAAAGAAGTTGAAGATACCAAATCATAAATGCATAAAACATTCAATCAATCATTTAAAATTTAATTTAATGATACTCTTCCATAAAGTAGATTAGGCTCTGAATAAGACAAAAGGATTAATAGAGTCGTTGGTTTACCAGGCCTGAAAGAAGATCCTAAACAATAATAGTTTTAATAAAAATAATAGTAGTAATAGACTAATCTAAATAAATCTACTAATAAGAGAATTTCCGTATAATAACCATCTTTCTATGTTTAGGTATTAATATTTATAAACTCTTCAGGGATAATATAATTTATAACCTTAAAAGCTTAATCTAGTGTATAATTCTAATACTTACAATTATTCAATTAAGAAATCGTATATCTCAAAAAAATGAATTATTAATTTATATTTATTCATCCTAATATTTTTATAATTTTTATCCTTAACACTTCATCTCAATAATCCTCAAAAACTATTATACACTGATAAAGGTTATATTTACTCTTATTATAATTTCAATTTATACGAATTCTTATTTATTAATTAATAACATTCTTAAGTGGGTAGTTTAGTGAAATATGATTAAATAATAGGGATATATCTTAATATAAAATTTTCTTCTTAAATAGAAATATTAGGAGAAAATTTTTTTTTTAAAAATAATTAATTTACCTGGAACTGTTTATTTATTTTTTATGATATCGTTAATAATTTTTATAAATAATTTCTTCTTCATTTTACTAAATATAAAGAAGTAATATTAAATGATTTAAGAAATATGTGGTTAGAAATAAAATAATTACATAAATTTTATTAAAATGTTCGTTAATAATTCTTGTCTGCCAAATAGTATGAATTGTATAATAGCACCATTAAATGGAGTTGGTGGTGTTTATTTAGGAAATCTAGATGCTGCTTAGAATTCAGAGCTACTATCAAAATATTAAATAGGGGCAGTTCTCTCTGTTATAGATTAATCAATTCAAATCAGAGGAGCATAAAAATTGGTAAATACAATATAATATTTAATTTAGTGGATAATGGCTGATGATTGTGAAGATTTCCCGTTATATAAATACTTTGATTAAGCTATCAAATTCATAGATAGCCATTCTCTTAAAACCAATATTTTGATTCATTGTTATGCTGGAATATCAAGATCTGCTGCAATTTGTGCTGCATATATGATGCAAAAGTATAAATGGAATTTAAATTAAACTCTTCGACATATCTAATAAAGAAGAAGATATATAAATCCAAATCCAGGTTTTATGAAATAACTCTAAGATTATGAATAAAAAATGAAACCAAAATAATTAAGAAAGAATGGTTCAGTTATTATAGATGTTCCTGAAAAAAGTAGACATAGCTCAGTTGGATATGATGGAAATTGTATGAATATCAATGCAACTCATTCGATTAATAAATAAATCTTAAATTAGACAATGCAATCAAATCAAAAAGATAGACTTAGTGACTTTAATGTTAAATTAAATTCTTATATGCACTAATGGAAAATAAGAGAACGAGCTCATTGATATACATTTTATACTAATTTTATTTAATGACGCACTTTCATCATTTTTATAAATTCTCTCTTATTAATACTTTTTTAATACGTATTAAGATAAAGATTTTTAAAGGATATATTAGAACTACATTAAATATAAATAAGCTTAAATCATTCAGAATAATTGTGAATCTTCTTTTGTTTCACTTCTTCCTACTAGAATTGGAGAGTCAAGATTAGGAACATCCTTAATGAATTTAGATCTAATTCCATATAGTATTTAACTAATTTCATTTTAATCGTCATCTGATGAGAGAATATCAGCAAATGGAACTTTAATTACTACTCTTTTCTCAATTTTCACTTTTTTTTTTATTGCCATTTCTTAAGTTTCTTGATCTTATTTTTTATCTTTCTTCTGATCTTTTTAAGAACTAATTGAACTTTTACGTCTACTCATCAATTTTTTAAATATATATTAATTTTTTGTATTTATTTAAAAAACATTTAAAATCAAATTCTGCCTCTAAAATCTTTAAAATAGTTCTGAATTCACACATTTTACTTTAATTGTTTCACTAATTTATTAACTATTTCTAAATTAATTTTTGAAATTTCACATTCATTAACTATTTACACTTCATTTAATAAATCAATTATCATATTATTATTTTATAAATTCAAGACATTTTCCTATTTCAATTAATATTTAAATTTACAATAGCCTTTACATTATGATCAATATCTATATACACTTTTGATATTCTATCTTTTATTTTAAATAATTTAAAATATATTTCATTTTGAATCATTCTTAATTAATTGAAGTTTTAATATAAAAAATAACAATATTATTTATTGAGGTATTTTATGAAGCATTAAAATTGAATTTTTTTATCACTTAAAACTTAAAATTCTCCTAATAATATTTTTAAGTCAGTATTCTTTTATTCTGCCTCCTTTTAAAAAACTTTACATAACTTACAATTTGGCCCAAAAATTACAGGACAATTTTATTTGATTTTTCCAGCTTTTTTCTTTTGCGATTAATATCAGTTTATTTTCCTAGAATATGCATATGATTAAATCTTATAGTTGTAATTTTCAGGATCAAGAGATCTGAAAACAATATAGCAATTGTCTCTCAAATTTAGTTTCTCATACGAGATATTAAATTTTCATATTACTTAAATTTTTTTCACTTAACGTGTCATAGATTCAAAAAAGTTCATTCAAAATTAATATTTCCTCTTAATTAAAAAGTACTTTAAGTGCTCTTATAAATATTTATTTTAGAAATCATTTAATTATTAATCTCATTTTTTTATTGATGTATTTTTATTCTTATTCTAAAATTCGATATATGAAGGTAAACAAATTAAATTAATTTACTCATCTTAATTGTGATAGATCCTTTTTCCATTTGTTCCAGCTATAATTAATAAATTTTCAATTATATTATTGTATTTATGTGAATTATGAGTGTTTAAGGAGCTAAGTTATTTTAATTATATTAGATAATGTTTACTCTATCTATTCGAATTAGAGAGACTTTGTTAAGCTTTTATTTAGTTTTTAATACTTTAATAATAATAAAATAACATAATAAAATAACACAATAAATAAATTTCGTCATGACTTTTGATTTCTGATTAAGGACATTTTATCATCAAGATCTTTGATTAATGCTTGAATAAGAGTTAAACTTTTATTGAATCCAGCTGCATTTGCTCTTAAGGAATCAATTTTTGGCATTTTAACAATTTCTGGTGTTGTTGTAATATGTATTTTAGAGGATTTGGCTGCAGTTAATTCATCTTCATTTTCTAACAATATAATAATATTGAATACCTTTTAGTTTTTATTTTAGCCGTTCAATATCTTCTTATGATTAAGCTTTATTAGCATCTAAATCAGTATGTGCCAATGCTAATTGTTCGAGAACTCTATCTAATTTCACCTCTAAGTCTTTATTTGTTTCTTCTAGCTGTCTTAATTTAATAGAGAAATATACCTAATTTTGCTGTTATTCAAATCTTAATCAACTTCTAGATCAATAACTTGCATTTTATAGGTTTGCAGAGTTTTTTGTAATTCAACTATTTATGCTTCCTTTTTATTTAGTTACTTTTCTAATTGATTTTAAATTGACTACAATTCATTCTAAAGAATAAAAATAATATTTACTCTAGCTTTTTGAGTTTCTTCTTTTTGTTGTAGAAGAGAATTCTAAGTCTAAGCAAGTTATTTATTTAATGATTCAATATTCTTTTATTATTAATCTTCCAAAGCTTGGCTTTCCTCAACAAATTAATTATATTCTTCTTCCATTTATTGATACTTTTGAGCCATCTCTTCATACAACTATTTGTAGTTCATTTAATTGTGAATAATATATATTTAGTATAATATTTAATTTACTCATTTAAAGCGTTTGCTTAACTTCTAAATTCCATATTTAACACTTAAGAAAGGAGAAATCATTGCTAAATTATAAAACAACATGCGTCTAGAAGAGAATTGATTTTTTCTTTTAACACTTTCTTTAATGAGTTCTTTAATTTTATCTTAACTCATCATTTTTAAAGTTCCCATATTATCTTTTTCTCCTAAAACAATACTTAATAATTATCCAGGTATCAATGAACACAGATATTCCCTAGATATATGTGTATATAGATTACAAAGATTGGATGCTTTAATCAATTAAGATATGACCATCTTTTTGTATTTAGATTAAATTATTTAGATCTCCTAAATTGGATAGATAGAGATCTGTAATATTTTTATAATTTCCTTTAAGAATATTAAAGACTTTGTTTTAGTTTTCTCCTCCTAATGTAAATCTTATATCACCATAATATGATAAACTCATAATACTATAGAGTAATTCTTATAATGACATTGATGATTTAAAATCCATTAAGATAGAAATGGCTACAGCACTTTACAAATTAGAGATATAAGCTCTTTGAAATCTTAAATTATCAAATTCTTAAATGGTGAGTATTGGTTTTTGCATACGTCCAGCAATGGATAGCCATTTCCAACTTTCAAGATCTTTGATAAGTTCTTTGGAGGATACAACACCATATTTTAATTAAAGATCTTAAAATTGAACAAAAGGACTAAAATGAATTGGGAATATTTCAACATTCATTCTTTAAATGAATCTACTACCTAAATAATAACTTAATCCACTATAATGCTATATTGTAGTAATAGAAATACTGTAGGATTTATTTGGATATTTTGGAGATGCCATTCTTCAACGTTATCGACAGCAAGAATTAAATCAATCATAGGTTTACTTTTTGTATAATCATAATTAAATTAAGGTTATACAGCTGAACCATAAGCAAAACAGAATTCACTTAAAGGTAAATTTTGAATGAATTATTTCAATAAAGTAGTTGGAATTTGTTGCATATTTCAAATGTAAATAATAATAATAACAAATAAAATATATAAAATTTATATATATATATATTATATTTGTCAAGCTCCTCTAATTCTGTTAATAAAGTTATCGAGCATAAACCAAGAGTTCTCTCTTTAATCTTATGGAACCATCTACAATAAAAATATTTAAATTACATGTCCAGCACCTCTAATAACTTAGAATCTAAAATAATTGTATTCTTCAATCCATCCTGCTAATTGATTCTATAATTCACCTGGATGTTGATTCATATAAGGAGTCCAATCTTTAATCCTTTTATAACCTGGTATCTATTTAATACTTTCTAAAGTCTCAACCATACTCACAGCTAAATCTTAATCGCCAGAATATAGAAGAATATCAATTCCTGCTTTAAATAATTCAGGTAAAATCAAATAACTTCCTTCTGATTTGGTATATTAGGCATAAATTTGATCATTACAACCAGTCCATAAAGTATCATTATCCACATGAAAAGCCTATTTATATATTTCAGTATTTAATTTATTCGCTAAAGGTCCAAAGTCAATACATGGAGCATTATTATCATCATCATCTTCAAATAAATTTAACCAAGGTGTATAACTAAATCTATGTTTAGATTATCTCTCAACTTTGAATTCCTTTATAGTACTATCACCCCAACAATAAGAATATACTCCATAAGGATTTATTAAAGCTATTGCATCATCCAATGATTTCTTAGCTTATCTACAACTTGCTGAAAGTGGTTGTGCAGCACAATTATGACTTAAAATAAATTAATTTGTATAATCTATAAAAGATCTTCTTCCCAAGAACTTTAATGCGGTTTAACTTCTAAACTTCTCATTGTTAATTAACACACCATTTCCAATTAAAATTCCCTTGAAGTTTATTTTTTCATCCTCATCAACATTTTTCTCTCCCTCTAATAAAGCTTATGCTGTATAAGGAATGTACATTCCTAAAATCAATAATTTAAATACCTGCATATGACTCTCCAGCTATATAGAAATCTCTACCTCTATAATATGTGAATGTATCAAACCATCGTCTTATGGCCTAATAATTAAACTCTCCTGTCTTTTCATCAGTGAAATTATAATTTTTATCTGGGCTTGGTTTAGAAAATCCAACTCCAAATGGTGATTCTAATATTAATAAATGTGCTTTCTTATTCCAAGACCATGGATTTTCTTTGTATTCAGTTTCTCCATTATCAATCACAAATGGTCCAATTTCTTACATCAAACCCAACATTGATGAACATCCTGGACCTCCATTAAGCCAAAGTATTACTGGTTATGGCTCTACCTCTGCATTCTCAGTTTGGCTCTCTACAAATACATAATGCAAATTTCTTATATAGAATCTATATTAACCTCATGACTCCAGTATCATTAAAGTCTATCAATCCTGACCAAGTCTTGAAACTGTAATCAATAGGCCAATCAGGCCATCGAAATTCATCAGCCACAAAGTCTATACATGTGACTGATAAAAGTATCGTAGCAATTATCACACATTTCATCATTAATTTCTAATAATTTAATCAATTTATGTGTTTTGTTCGATTTCTTTTTTAAAATAGGAATCGAATTTGAATGCATATTGATTATTGTACTCAATATTGTTCTACATATATTATTTTATAATCAAAATTCTAACAAGATATTTTTAATATTTTATTATTCATTCAATCCTATTATCAATTATTTATCTTTATCAATCTGTTTTCAAATCATTTTTCATTTCATTTCTTTCCAAATTAAGACTAATAATTTAATTATCTCTTAATTTCTTCCTATCTTTCTTAATTTTAATTTAAAACTTTTTATATTAATATGATTTTAAAAAAATAATATTTAAATCCAAAATAAATTAAAAAACTATTCTCATTTTTCTTTTTTATCTCAAAAACATATTATATGATAAATAATTTTATTTTAGGTCTGAATTATTTTATGTTAAGGTTTTGATCTAGAATTTATAAATTTTATCTTACTATATGAAATTTTATAACTCTTTACTATAATTCAGAATATAAAATACATCATCAACTTTTTCAAAATACATGATATTAATTAAAAATGAATAATATAAATTTATTTTAATATGTAGTAAATTAGTAAAGAGAAAGAGAATCAAATCTAATAAGCAATGGATTTAGAAAAAGATGTGTTAACCACATTAGCCAAAGTCAGATAATACGAAGCATCAATAACTTCATTAAAAAGAAACATTCAAAAATGTAATATTACATTAAAAGAATTGGGCAGTGTTGATCAATAAAAAACATATCAACCTATTGGTAGATGGTAGCAAATTAAATAATATTTTTAGCTTTATTTTGAAACCCAAAGGAGATATTGTAAATGAAGTTAATGAATATATCAAATCTCATGAGAAAGACATAGAAGAATTTGATAAAGTTAGACAACATTTAATTGCAAAAGGTAAAGAGAAAGAAACTTAATTGTAAGAAGCAATGAAATCATTAAAAATTTGAAATTATAATATATTTTATGTTCTAAGATAATATTTAGGAATGTGTGTTTAATTAAAATTATCTTCCAACTTCAAAAAGTCACAATGTCATAAAGTCCAGGTAATTAAAAATAATAATTTATTTTTTTAGTTATATATTTATTTTTGGTGGTGTTCATTATTGTTAAGGCATAATATAGAATAAACTCTCAATTTCTAATTTTTTTTTTAGATATTTTCTTTTATTGATAAAATTTAGAAGAAACTTGACATATAATCAAATCGATTACTAATTTTAGGCATATATTAAACCTTAAGCTAAATAAAAATTCCATCTAGCGTTATTGAATTTTATATAATTTTTGATACTATAAATATTTTAATTATCATTCATGTATACAACTTAAAATTAATGGCAATTCTTAGAGGAAGAGACTCTAAAGAAAATAAATCATAAAAATTTATTTAAAGGTATATATAGACATGATTCGTTATAGAAAAAATAGTTTACTTATATAGTAGCATGGATGATGAGGATGATGTGCGATACTATAAGGGTTTTAAAACAGTAGTTGAAAATATAAGGAATGTCAATTGATAAATAAATATTTTTTGAAAAAGTTTTGAATATTATAAACAAAAACAATTTGTTAATTTATTTTAATAAAAAAGATTAACTATTAAAAAATCAGTAATCAAACTATTAAAATATAATAGAAAATTATAAGTAATCGATTCATTAGACAAAAAAAAATAAAATTTAATTATTTTTTTTGGTTGCAAGATCAAAATATTAATGAGAAATGATCCAAATATTATTCAACATTTCTAGGTGAATTTTAATATATAGATCTTTCTAAATATAATCAACTATTTTATTTTAGATATTAGACCATGCAAAGATATAATGAGGCTAATTTTGATTAATCAATATATAAAAGACATTAAATTATTTATTTTAGAGAATTCAAGCTTTATATTTTAAAAAATAAAAGGTGAAATTTATCTGCAAAGAAAAATGTATTTAATTTAATTGAAATGATGAGGAAATAAATTCAACATATTTACTGTATTATTTTTTATAATTGAATACTTATTTATAGATTGCAAATTAAAAAGATGATTATATAACTTGAAGAAGTATTTTAAACAGAATAGAAGATAGTTATAAAAAAATTAATTAAATAATATTCTAAAAGTAATCGGATAGAAATAATGAATATATAATTAACATTATCAAAATTTGAAGTTTCAGTATAAAGTGGGTTTCTAAATTTCTTTATGGTACTAAATAGATAATAATGAATACAAAAAAATCAGCAGTTTTTCTTGGAATAAGATTTCCATCTTTTCTAGCTTATAAAACACTTGTTTTATTTTGCATTAAAGATTTAAGGTTGTTATATAATTATACAGCTTCTTCAATTTGTGCTTCAACACATTTATTTTTAGAAAAACTTATCTAACTATTGTATGATTCTTTATGCTAATGAAACTAATTTAAAGAAAGAGTTTACATAGGAACTACTATTATTTTTAGTAGAACTACACTCGACAGGAATAGAATTAAATTAGACCTTTAAAATTGATTTAACAGGAGTACTCGATTTTTTTTCATATGTTGGAGTATCTTATTTAGATTGACTTCTATTCATTTAGATCATTGGTTTTGGTATTTTTCTTTCACTTTGTGCAATTTTTTATGTTATATCTTTATTTTCAGATTCTACTGTGTTTGTTTTATTGATTGATTAATTAATTCTCTTTTCAGATGCACTTCTTAATTATAAAAAATTATAATTGGTTTTTGAAGGTTGAGGTAATTTTTTTAAACTTGAACTTCTTATGACTCCTTTGAAACATTCAGCTTTTTTAGTATATGAAGCATCAGAAATTCTTGATTCTTTACTTGAGGGTCTTTGTCTTAATTCATAATAAGCTTTTGATTATTATTATTGCTATGATGAACTAGGTCTAGGTAATTGTTTAGTAAGAGATTCCTTGAGATTTTTTGGTTGTTAGGATAATTGAGATTTATTCAACTATTTTTCATTTTAAAAGTCTTTGGTTTCTCTAGTTAATCTTTAGATTTCTAGATCTAGATTACCTATATCTCTAAGCAACATCTTTTTGATACTAGGTTTTTGTGGTTTTTCAATTAAAGGAGATTGTTCAGGGGGTATTGGATCCACAGGTTATTAAACTTAGTACTCGATTTCTTATTCTGGTTATTCTGGAGGAGGAGTTTGCAAATGAGATTCTTCCTTTAGAAATTATAGTTTTTTAATGGGATTTTTAGATGATTAAGATGATTATTTTTTAGTAGGATTGAAAACAATAAATTCTTATTTGTTTGATTATTGTTATTATGATTTGGATTATTTTTTATTCTTTTAACTATTTGCATTTTGGTATTGTTCTTACAAATTGCCTAATAATTATTATTTTCTTAAGTAAATTTGGATGTGTACCTTAATTCAAATTGAGCTGCAGCTTCTTCTTCACTTAATTTGCTATATCTACCTTATTCTGCCATTCAGTTAAATAAATAATAATAAGTATTATATTGAGAATGTATTAATTACAATCCGTTTTTATTATAATAAAAAAATGGTCAAACAATGCTATCTATTAGTCACTTTATTGGTGATTGTCCTTAGTCAGAATTATGGAACGGTTCTGATTCAAAATGAAGGAGGAGGATAAATTCAATCAAAAGTAATTCATATAATAAATTTAAGGAAATACTCTTCTAATAACCTTTTTAGTAAATTCCTTAAGTGGCCATTGCACTTCTTAATGGTCAAGGTGATATATTTGCAGAAATTCATGAGGTTAATTAAGAAGGTACATAAGTATCTATTAAAAATAAGGATTCACATTATAAGTGATGGCATCCGATGAGATTGAGGCATAATTTGCCTATTTAGCTATAGATAATGATGAGAACTATTAAATAGAATGTTTTAATCGTGTAGCTATTGGAAATGAGATACAAATTCCTATAATCATTTAGAGACCAACTTTTATTAGTGTTTTAGCCACCAATACTCATGCTAATAATTTCAATATTGGTAATAATTGATTTAATTGGTGAAGATTTACTTGATGGTAATCTAATTGTTGATAATGATGGATAAATGAATATGTGCATAATAATCACAAATGAAGAGTAACCAATTGATTTGGTAGGTTATCAGAACTACTAGTAATAAGAAGTAGCGGAATTCCATCCATTTAAGAAGTAAAATGCCATGTAATTATTAAATTATTAATTCAGCTTAGGAGCTTAGTATAAGCACAGTAATCCCTAGAAATTACACATTTAGATTAACAAAAGTCTTTTGAAATTTGGCATCATTAATCTATTGAAATTGTTAAAGATTCTTCAATTGAAGTATATCCTACTCATCGATCATTGGAAATTGTGAGTGATGATTAACCTAATCAAGTAGAATTCAAACAAAACGAATCCTTAGAAATATTTAAATTAGAAAATTAAGATTTACAATCGAATTCTGATTAAAAACTAATTGCTGAAGATATTCATTTAGAAAATATTGATGAAAATCTACAATCTTAAAATAATTAAATAGAAGATATTAAATTTAATGATCATTCTAATTTCGATAACCAAAATTAATAGTAAATAACTGTAGCTCCATCTGATTAATTAGAAGATATTAAATTAGATCTTGAATCTACATAAGAAAATTAATAATCTGAAACTATTTCTCTTGATGATTCATAATAACTATAAGTTGATGATTAATAAGTGTAACAATAAATTGAGGATTCTTAATAACTATAAGTTGATGATTAATAACAACAACAAAGTGATGATTCATAATAATAATAATAAGTTGAGGATTCATAATAATAATAACAAGTTGAGGATTCATAAGAATAATAATAAGTTAAGGATTCATAATAATAATAATAAATTGAGGATTCATAATAATAATAATAAATTGAGGATTCATAATAATTAGTTGAGGATTCATAATAATAATAATAAGTTGAGGATTCATAATAAAAAGAAAACAATTAACAATAATAGTTTGAAGATGTAAAAATAGTAACTGAAGAACCTATAGATAATCAAAATTTACAAGAAATTAAATTGACAACAGATGAAGTTTAAATTATAGAACCTAAAAATGATTCAATTTAAAATTAAGAACAATAAAATAATTAATAAAATTAAGATGAATCTAATTAGATTTTGTAATCTAACTCAGAAACTAATAATAATGATTAAGTACTCTAATAAGAAGATATTGCATTTGATAATTAAGAAAATAATATCGTAAATTAAGAGGAAGAACCAAAATAAGAGATCTAAATTGAAGATATTAAATTGGATAATACAGAGATATCATCTATGAATGCTGATGATATTCCTTAATAATAAGATGCAAAAGAAATCCTTCATGATTAATTATCAATTGCATCAGAAGAGAAATAAGTTGAGGATACTTCATCAACCGAGGATGTTGTTATTCATGCAGATGAAGTAAAAATAGAAAATGTGAAGATTTCTGAAGCAAATTTGGATGAGATAAGCATAGAATAATAAGATAATATCTAGTAGGTTTAAGAGGATATTTAGGAGAGTAATAATGATATAAATGAATAAAGCGAAGTTATTTCAGTTGATCCTGAGGCTTTTTCAGAACCATAATAAAAAGTAACTTAAATTAATGACGAGGATCTTCTTAAATAAGAATAAGATATTGATGAAATGATCAGAGTTGCTTAAGAGTTGAGAGAAGAAGCTAAACAATTAAAAAATAAAAATAGAAGTGAACAATAATTAGAAAAATTAGATATAATGGAAAAGGCAAATGATTTAGAGAAGGAAGTTGGAGAACTTGAAAATAAAAGTGAAGAACCTTAGGTTGTAGAAGATTAAATAAGTTTAGATGTAAATTCTGCTTATGAGGATTAGAAGGAAGTTTAAATAGAATAACCAAAGGAAGAATAACAACCACCTATTATATATTTAAATGATGAAGGAATGAATCCAGAATAGTAATTAATTATTTAGGAAATTAAAAATGATGATAATAACCTTATGGTAAACTAATTATAAGATGAAGTTGATAAAGAATTGTAATCATAAGAGTAATAGATTGAAAATACATCATAAATTGGAGAAGAAGACATATAAATTATTGATGCATCCATTAAATTAGATGAAGATCATTAAGAAATTGAAGTTTATGAATCTGGTCAAGTAGAAGCCATTCCTGATTAAGTTTAACCATAAATTGAAGAAGTCTAACAAATTGAGTAACCTCAAGAATACGTGGAATAAGAACCTTAAGAAGATGTTGTTTAAGAATAAGAATCTACAAAAGAAGAAGGTGGTATTGTTTAAGAATAAGAGTTTATAAATAAAGAAGGTGATATTGTTTAAGAATAAGAAAGTACAAAAGAAGAAGAGGCTATTGAAATTGGATTGACAACAGATGAAGGAGAAGCTTATATTAGAAAACCTAAGAAATCTGATTTCTTAAGGGAAAAACAAAGATTAAAGGATAAATTAAATAATGTTATTCGAGATTTTAAATTAGATTCTGTGTCAACTGAATCTTTAGATACAGTGGCTGAAGGAGAGAAACAATATTCATTGATTATTGATAGATTAGATGTTCCTGAAAATAATGATTAAGTTATTGTATTGAAGGATGAAGATTATGAATAAAATTATGTTGAACCAGAACCAATATAAGAAGTCAAATAACTTGGAGATTATTTGGAAGCAGTAGAACCAAATATAGAAAATATTAATTTTATTTATGATGATGAATAATAATAGGAATAATAAAATATTTAAATTGAAGATATTAAATTACATGATGATACTAATGAAGAAACTAATTATAAAATTGTAGAAGCTAAAGATGACGATTTTGTAGAATCTACATTAGAATATGTCGATGATACACAATAATAATAATTATTATCAAGTGAAGTTGCTGTTTCTGCTGAAGAAACATCTGTTATACAAGATGACAATTAGAATAAAGAAGATATTAATGTCTCTTTTGATGAATTCTAATAAGAACTTGAAGCTTTGGCTAATACTATTGGAAACATCAAATAAGAAAATGTGGATACTATGAAAACTAGTGATTATATCATTGTTAATGATAATAGTTAAATCTATGAAGCCACTTATGATGAATAAAGTAATGAATAACCAATAGAAGATGAACCTTAAATTGAAGAGAATTAAGAATAATACTATCAAGGAATTGAAGATGATTAAAATACTTCAATGGAAATAGAATAATCAGAAAATCTAGATCAAGAATAATAAGAACTTTAATAACCAAATGAAGATCCAGAACTTGAGTAATAGGATATTGAATAACCATAATTGTCTGAAGATTAATTTTTAGTTGATGAATAATAATCTGAAGATGCAACTTAATAAGTTCAAAGATATGATGATGCTGAGCCTCAAGAGTAATATCTGACTATTGATAATCTTGTTAAAGATAGCTCAGTTGATACTGGGGAATCTTATTAATAGCCACCATAATATTATGATGAATCTGATAATCAATCATGTGAAGAAGATTAATAAAATAAAGTTGAAAACACATTTTAATAAGATTATGATGTTTCTGAATAATAATAATAAGCTTAACAATATCAAAATAATTATTAGTAATAACAAGAATAATAAGAATAGGAATAAGATTTTGTTGTAATGAAAGCAAATTAATTTATTCCTTAATAAACTGAAAAACAAGCATAACTAGAATAACAACTTTCTGATAACCAAAAAGAAGAAGATATCTATTCAGAAACTCCTAAAAACGAAAATGAAATTGATATTATAATAGATGTTGCTAATGAACAATAGGATTAATCTCAATAAAATGAATAAGATTATGATTATGAAGATAATTTTGAAGTTTAATAGCCAGTATAAAAGTAAGTTGAATCATAATCATAATAAAAATAGGATATCTAATAATAATAACAATAATTATAATAAGATTCAAAATCTACTAAAAATAATAAATAAAAAATTTAACATTCAATTACTATATCTCACAATCCTTAATAAAGTAATAGTAAATAAACCGATAGATCTATTTAAATATAGCATGAAGAAAAATCTCTAAAAATTGAACATTAACTTAATGAAGAGGAATTAAAAAAAAATATAAAGGAATAGTTAAAATAAGAACTAAAAGAAGAATTAAAATAAGAAATAAAATAGGAAATATAAGAATCTCATAATAGAAGAAAATCTGCAAGTCTTGTTATAGAGGATAATGTTGCTAAAGATCCCGAAAGACCTGCTTAGAAAGCAATAAACAATTTTAATAATTTATTACATGATGTAGTAGATGAAACATTAAAGGAAGAAGATAGAAAGCACTATTAAAAATTACCAATTGTAGATTTAAAGAAAGAGTCGTTCAATAAAGTAGAGCCAAAAATGGAATAAGGAATTGAAGATTTAAAGAAAGCTTTAGGATTAAAAGGAGGAGTAGAAGTTATTGATAATAATGGTAAAAAACAAGTTATTAATGTTGAGGATCTTAAAAAAGAAAGTGAAAAATTACTAACCAATCCAGAAAAAGAAAATAAAAATGATAGTCCTTAATATGAAGAATTTTTAAGAAAAGTTACAGAAAAATAACAAAAAAATAATAATGAGGCATAGATTAATTATGAAGAATAGCATAATTTGAGAAAATAAGAAATTTTGGAGAACATAAAGAGAGAATTAGAAATAAAGAAAGGTCACTTCACAATACCAAATGATTCACCTTAAGGTATATATGGAAATATATTTTTAGCTGAATTATCACCTTATGAATTTGAGAGAGTTTATCTAGATTGGGAAAAGAATAAATAAGATATAATCCCAAGTATACTTTAACATTCTATCGAACAACCTAATACTTAAGAAATTCATTCTAATTAAGAAATAGTATAGTAGAAGTCAATTGAGAGAGTCTCCAGAAAAGAAGAAGTTGATAAAGAAGTTTAAGAGTTACTTTATGGAAACTAAAAGAATAGAAAACAATAATCAAAATAATCCTTAAAAGGTATAATTTAGATTAAAATTTAAAGAATTTAAAGTTGAAGATTTGAAATATATAAAGGATGATCCACTTTTAGATTCTACTTTCAGTGGATTTGTATAAGTAAAAGCAAATTTAAGAAGGAGATAACATTGATTAATATAAGTTTATAAATTAACAGAATATAATATGGAATAAAGTAATCATCACTTCTAAGGCAAGTCCCATTTCTTTCTTTAAGTAACAGAATAGTTGTCATAAGAAATTTCTGGTTATATGATTTTTTCTTGCAAAAACTGCATTAAGTTGAAGTGTTATTCATTTCTTATTTTAGCAAATTCTTCAAGTAAATCATATAAAGAAATATTTTTGAGTGCTTATGTTACATTTTATTTCTTTTAAACTTTAGGTTTGACAGCAGAGGATGAAACAGGAATTCTTCTTCGGCAATGAGGACATTATTGATTCATAAGAAATTAAATTAATTACATTGTTTAATAGTTTCATTAATTATTGTTCAATTCCTTAAATCACATATGCTAATTTAACATAAGATGGTATTTGAACACAATATATAGTAATAGCTATAATGTAAGGATTATATCTTGGATAAAAAAGGATTGCTTTCCAAAAATTTTGCAAAAGTAATTGTTTGCCTAAGAAGAAACAAATAATCGAATATATTTTTTTTATAATGAATGTAAAGAGACTAAGCTCTTCCATACTTATCAGTTACCTGATGATTTTGTTTCATTTTGCAGATTGAACAATGGCATCTGATTATTTCCATTTCAACAGGTCCTAAAAATTCAAATTGATCCTTTTAACAATGGCAATTTCCTTAATATATTTATTCCATTTTCTTATTATAATATATATGTAATCAGTGAGCTAAATTTCTAAATCTGATCCAACTCGTTATGGTGATTCATTTAAACCTGCTGCAAGAAAAATGACTCATCGGTTATTGTCTCATAGCGATAACGAGATGTCTCTGAAGAAAATGGACTTTACTTTGGCTGGAAGTGGAAAACAAATCCCAGATTATAACATCAAATTATCATAGCTTGAATCAAAACAAATAGAACCATTTAAAATAAAGGATTTTATACCATTGATCAATCCAACCATCAAATGTGAATTGAGTCGCCTAAATAAAAATAATTTCTTAGACTTTCTTTTAATTTAGAAGGCTGGCAAAGTAAAAAGTTACAATTCATTAGTATTAGTCTGGGGATCAGAAGTTCTTTGATCTTTTAATTTAATAATACAACTTTGATCCTTTTAAAAAAACCTTAAAGAAGCATGAAAATAAATAATAAATCTAATATCTCTAAAAACGAGATGAAAGGGAAGAATAAATTGCCTTGCAGGTTAAGCAATTTTATAAACATATGTAACACAAAAGAAGCGGCACAATTAATTAATAACCTTTAGATCGTATGATCATTGAAAAAAATAATTATTTGATCCAAAAACTACCACGCTTTAGAGCTAAATTAGAGGCTTTGTAAGGAAAAAATGATTATATATGATCAAATTATAGTAGAAGTAGTGTACTTATGAGTTGGGAGGTAACCAAGGTTTCGACGAATAATTTTTTCGATTTCAAATATTACATGTATATCAGTGTTTCGATTCTTAGGTTTAGTATGATGAGGTTTCATCTTTATTAGGGAGAGTTATGGTAAAAAATGCTTCTCATTTGGAGATTCCTTAATCTTAATGAATTTATTGATATATTATTGTTTCACTACTTATCTTGGTGATATACTATTCAACCTTAACTTAGGTAATTCACTTTTCTTTGCTGTTAATATAGAATGAATTGTTTAATGAGTTTCTTTAATTTCTGTCTTTTCTTTATGTACTGGTACTGTCATCTAACTATGATATCGTGAACGAGGTCTATAATCATCGCTGCACCATGGACCTAAGTCTTCATCAAAATGCATTTTATTATCAAATTTTTAATATTTATGTCTAAATATTTTATTTATTGGCATTTGCTAAAATTTTTACTATTCTTTCATATTATTGTTTTTAAATTTCTTATTGTTAATTTTCTGAATTCATTTACTTAATTTTTATGGCCATTATGTTTAGAATAATTTATTATTGTTATTGAATTAAAATCTAATTCAATTTTAATAAAATCAATTCAATAAAAAAATATATTTCTAAAATCAATTAAGTTTTCTGATTTATTCTCAAATAGTAATTGACTTTTTTAACATTTTTCTTTAAACACTTTTAAAACTTTTTATATATGCTTCAAACACTAGTAGATAAAAATTGTTAATTCTTTCTCCTATTTTAAGAAATCCTTTTATAATTTTCATTATTATATTTAACATGAATAATTTTACACTTATCTTTTGAAGACTTGCAAATTTTATAAAATCAAAATTAAACACAAGCTTATTTCATTTCAAGAATGTTATTAATAATATGAACTTGGTATGTACTTGATTATAAAAATTATAATTANATCTCTAAAAACGAGATGAAAGGGAAGAATAAATTGCCTTGCAGGTTAAGCAATTTTATAAACATATGTAACACAAAAGAAGCGGCACAATTAATTAATAACCTTTAGATCGTATGATCATTGAAAAAAATAATTATTTGATCCAAAAACTACCACGCTTTAGAGCTAAATTAGAGGCTTTGTAAGGAAAAAATGATTATATATGATCAAATTATAGTAGAAGTAGTGTACTTATGAGTTGGGAGGTAACCAAGGTTTCGACGAATAATTTTTTCGATTTCAAATATTACATGTATATCAGTGTTTCGATTCTTAGGTTTAGTATGATGAGGTTTCATCTTTATTAGGGAGAGTTATGGTAAAAAATGCTTCTCATTTGGAGATTCCTTAATCTTAATGAATTTATTGATATATTATTGTTTCACTACTTATCTTGGTGATATACTATTCAACCTTAACTTAGGTAATTCACTTTTCTTTGCTGTTAATATAGAATGAATTGTTTAATGAGTTTCTTTAATTTCTGTCTTTTCTTTATGTACTGGTACTGTCATCTAACTATGATATCGTGAACGAGGTCTATAATCATCGCTGCACCATGGACCTAAGTCTTCATCAAAATGCATTTTATTATCAAATTTTTAATATTTATGTCTAAATATTTTATTTATTGGCATTTGCTAAAATTTTTACTATTCTTTCATATTATTGTTTTTAAATTTCTTATTGTTAATTTTCTGAATTCATTTACTTAATTTTTATGGCCATTATGTTTAGAATAATTTATTATTGTTATTGAATTAAAATCTAATTCAATTTTAATAAAATCAATTCAATAAAAAAATATATTTCTAAAATCAATTAAGTTTTCTGATTTATTCTCAAATAGTAATTGACTTTTTTAACATTTTTCTTTAAACACTTTTAAAACTTTTTATATATGCTTCAAACACTAGTAGATAAAAATTGTTAATTCTTTCTCCTATTTTAAGAAATCCTTTTATAATTTTCATTATTATATTTAACATGAATAATTTTACACTTATCTTTTGAAGACTTGCAAATTTTATAAAATCAAAATTAAACACAAGCTTATTTCATTTCAAGAATGTTATTAATAATATGAACTTGGTATGTACTTGATTATAAAAATTATAATTATAGTAAATGAAATCTCTTTCTTCACATTACTTTAAAAAAATTACATAAATTTAATATTTATATAACAGCAATATATTTTGAATAATGATAAACTTAGATGAGATAGAATCAATTGCTCATTCATTTCGCAAAAAGCCCAAGAAAAATTCATCCATGTAAATACAAACAGATGAAACAATGGCGATGATTGAAATTTTAGAATCGGATATGAATAAATTTAGAATTGAAAATTTTAGACTTTAACAATAGATTAAGTAATTATAAGAGAGTTTAGTACATTGTTCTGTGAATGTTACAAATACATCTTCTAAATTTATGTTGCCAAGTGAATTTAAATTAAAATATGAAAATATGGTAAAAGAAACACTTCCTTCAGCTTTTGGTTCTCTTTTTGATTAGCCAAAAGTGCTAGTGTAAGTTGTTTAATAAAGTTGTCTCTTTTTAGAATAAGTAATTAGAGAAGAATTAAATAATAAGACTTTGCAAATAGCAACAATACTAGGAATAAATTGTTAAGGTTTATTTAGTCTTTTATAAAAATTATATTAAGATAATTACTTAAATGTATTGGGATTCAATGAAACAACAATAAGCAAATTAAAATCCCATCTGAAATTGAATATTAAAAATATAGATGAATTTATAGAGGAAGATAACGATGATTTGATTGAATGGATGAAATAATATTGGTTATTGTTATCTTACATAATTCTCAGTGATTAAGAGATAAACATAGGTTTTAGTAGAGTGATATATGAGATAGTATCATATTAAAAGAATGAATATTATTGTGTAGATGGTTTTGGTAAAGAAGGAACTAATAGTTTGGTGATTTTACCACCAATTATGAGAAAGAATTAACCATTTAATGGAGTCAAACATTCAGTACTTATATTGCCAAGCAATTTTGATTGTTCAATATTTAATTAAGACAACAATTTATAAGATACAATATAAGAATTGAAATCTTATAATTCACCAAAATAACTGACAATTCCTTAAGAAATAAGAGTTGTTGAGGAAACTAAAAGAAGCAGTTTATAATATAGTGCTAGAGAAAATACATTTTAAAGTTAAGGATCTGAAAAATTTGACACTTTTGAAGAATGTAGATTTAGACCATAGCAAAAATAACCATTAAAATCAATGAAGGAAACTCTTAATAAATTAAATTAATATAATAATTGTAGTAATAATTAATCATTTAAAGAAATCTCTCGACTACTTAAGTAGGATTCAAAAGATAATAAAAGGTTTAGGTAAATTATTACTCATATTTAGTTAGTTAAATTATATATAAAATAAAATTAACGATAGTAATTGGAGTAGAATTCTAGCTAATAAAAAAAATAAAGAAAACAATCAACATCTCAACCAATCCTAAAATTAACCTCATTAATTAACAATTTAATAATTTATTAAGAAAATTAAGATAGATTTTTCTCGCCCTCTGAAAAGTCGCCATGAAGATTCAAAGTTCAATAAATCACAATAGGATAGTTTCAGATAGAGAGCTCAGTCCAATGATGGAAAATTTGTTAAATATTATAATGATTCCTTTAATTAGAAGTTTAATAATTGATATACTATTATAATTAAATATAACAGCTAAATGAATAGATTTAATAGTCAGACTAATGAGTACTTTAATTTAATTGAGAAATGCATATGTACGATGTTTTTTTTCTATCTTAGAAATTCCAAAAGATGATCGACTTTATCTTAGGTAATGTGCCCATTAAAACAATCCAGACATAATATCAATCCTATAATCACAGAAAAAGAAAAATGGTATAAATTTATAATTCATAGAGATCAAAGAAGACTATATATGGATTTGCGGAAATTTTTATAACAAAATAAATAGGGTCGTATTTTGAAAAAGAAATAATAGAAATCAAAAGAAAATTTAAGGAATGGATCTCCATAAGTCTAAAGCAAATAATAGTCTAGATAAAATAGTATTAGAAATAACAATCCTAGATCATTAAGTAAATAACTATAATGCATACATCCATAAGATAAATCATAGCATTTAATTATGTATATTTATATAAAAAATTTAGGACTACTCCACATAAATAATAATAAGACAGATTATCTTAAAATTAAAAATTCCATACGAGTAGTGAAGGGTTTTTTAAGTAAGATCAAAGATTTGATGAAACTATGAAAAAATCTGCAAAATAGAAAAAGTGGACTGAAGAAGAAATTGTGAGAAAATATGCTGATCTTTTTACTGCACCAGATTTTCTAAAGAAATATAGAGCAATATCTTAAGATACAGATCCTGATAGCAAAGATTTCAATTTTGCAATTCCTTGTCAGAGTTTCATTTGTTAACCTAAATATTATGCTTTATAGAAATTTAGTGCAGAATAAATTTTTGGATTTATATTTATGGAGACTTCCTTAATAAAAATAAGCAGAAATTTCTTTTAATATAAAATGGAAGCATTTTATAATGAGATCGATACTGAAATACCAGATTTATAGGAAATGTTTATGTTTATTGATAAAAATAATGATAGTTTTATAGATGTCAATGAAATGGGATAATTTTTAGATTTTGTTTGTTAAAAAGAAGATAGATCAAATTTTATGAAATTAGATACAAATAACTAAGGTTTTTTTACAGAAAATTAAATGCTTTAATAAACAAGAGACCGATAATTAACTAGAAGGTATGATTTTAATATTATGAAACAGTTATTTTCTTGAGTTTGATGTAGGCCAAAATGGAAAGATTACTTATTGGGAATATTATTTAAGGTATTTATATTATATATATTAGACAACCTACTTAACTTGGACAAAATTTAAATAAATTACTAAAATGACTTTATAAAATAATTATTTTCCGCTATTTTTAATTTTAAATGTGTTTTGAAGAACCTTAAGAAGATAAAGGATTAGAGAAGTTTTTGAAATTAGCTACTAAATAGTAAATGATATGAGTAATTCTAGTTATGAGAGTAAATATGGAACCCCATAAAAAAATTTGAGGGAAAAAGCAATGACTTTATGGTTGGACTTACCATCATTTAAAGATAAAATGATAGTGATGGAATTTATGTAAAAGAAGATCAATAGGATTGAATCATCATAAACAAAAATCACTAATTTTTTTAAATCAAATTAAAAGCCCTCAAAGATTAAAGTTTAGAGATAGATAGATTTTTTTGATGATTAAGAGATTACAGGTCCATTAATAGAAGCTAACACTCCAAAAAAGAGAGATAGATCACCATATAGTAAATTTTATGAAGAAACCTATTGGAAACTAAAATTAGAGTATGAATCTCTGAATTAAAAAGAGATTAGAGAAATGGTATAAAGATAATGGGAAAGCAATAGAAAGATAATTTAAATTATTTGAATTCACAATTATATATAATACTAATAAAGCAAAACTTTTTTTTTATTATTACTAACACCTATATTAATAATATAATTTATTATAAAAATCGTTAAGATGTTAAAGAGAAGCTCCCATCGTTAATCTGATCAATAGTTAAGATATTCATCATTGACTAAAAATGATGATACAGAGTTTAATTTAGGAAAATTTCGAGAGAGCGTGTATTCAAAAATGCAACAATTAGGCAATTAAGAATAATAGTCTTTTGTAAAGGGTACTGCTCCAAAAACTGTCAAATCATCTTAAGTTTAAGAATTGAGAGGAAGGTATAACAAAAGTTTAAGTTTAGTATTCCATCATTTGAAGATATATTTAAAAAGATGTCTTCATATAAAGATAATTCACATCAAATATTAAAACATGATGGATCTTTAAGGTCTAGTATTTAGTGTAAAATTGAGCAATTTGCTGAACCACCATAAAGCAGATTATCTTAAAGATCAGTTGGAATGACTTTGCATATTTCAAATAGATTTGCCTCCTAAACTAAATTGGATACTAAATAGCAATCAATAGGAAAATTCACTTCGAGCTTTATAGAAAAACCAGTTATTTCTTAGCCACTTAAAACAAGTGTGATAGATAAATTACCATTAAAAGAGCTTACTGATA